GGCCGCTCCCCGGGCAGAACACCTTGCCCGGCGGGAGATCTCCTCTTTTCCTTCCTACGGCCACAATGGTGCATTAAAAATTAATAAAAATTTTGATTCATATTTTTTGGTAATAAAATATTTTTCTCGCAAATTTGGAATCAATTTTATATTACTACATTACGTCATTTTATTTATATTATACTAATCGCTCGAATAAGTACTTAGCAGCTTCCGAAAAGAGTATTGACTTTTATCGATAATCATGACGTCAACACTTTGTCAAACCCTAGCCTAACTACAAAATTTTCTATTTTACTTATAATGTTCTTAAATTTCACTCACGTCACAATTGATCACCGCACATGATACCACGGTGATACAAAACACTATTTAGCTATTTGTTCGCTTACATTTGAATATTTTTTACTAAATTTGCTACCACGTCGAAGCAAGCGGGCGGCTTACTCGGAAAAAAATTGACACATCGGTGCTTTGTTGTGCACATAGACTTAGGATATACGTATAGACCAACATAGTGTGCAAGGGAGAAGAAAATTCCTTATAGCATAAATGCAAGATAGAAAAGGATACCAAATCTCATGACTCTGTAACCGATTTTGAATGACAGGTCGGCGCAAGTCGGCGCGCAAGAAAGCGTGTTAATTTGTATAATTTATAGTTTTCCAAAATGGTTTCATATACCGTTAGTGACTGTGGTATCAACAATAGAAGTAATCCTGATGGTTGCACATTTCACAGGTAAATTCGCAAGACGTCGTCAATAATAAGACACGTCTATTTTTGCTTAAAATTTATGTTATATACTGTTTAAAATATGTAATATTTTCAATTATTTTTTTAATTTTGATATTTTGCAAAGAAAAAAGTCACATTGTTGATAATTTGTAAGATTTTGGTGAATTCATTTTTAAACAAAATATTTTACATTTACTCTTGGGATTGACTCAACTATATCAAAATTAAGGTCGATATATATCTTTAATGTGTATAAAGAATCGATAGACTTTTATACACAACAAAAAGAAGAATGAAATTAAATGGTCGATTTGCGTTCTAAAAACAAAATTTTATTTTGCCGTTTGTCAAACAGGTTCCCTCTGGATCCTTTAGTTAGAAAAAAATGGTTGGCATTAATTGGGCGGTTTGGTTGGAATCCTAAGAAGAACTCTACAATTTTGTAGTAAATATTTTATTGAGAAATATATAAGAAAAAGCAGAGTAAATACAACTTTATTAAAAGGAGCCATTCCTACATTATTTGTACCAGTAAGTATATTATTGTTAAAATAAGACTTCTTTTTTTTTATAGGATGGGGTGACAAACGAGCACACCGTCCACCTGATGGTAAGTGGTTGCTGTGGCCTATAGACATTTAAATCTATCCTCGTTTGCGAATCAAAATGCAGATGCGTTATCACCCGTGAGGACTAAGATGAAATGACTCTTTTCTATTAAAATGGGTCTCCACTTCTCTACACTTACCATACGAAACACAGCAGTGTTAAACTGCTATTTTACGCTGGTATAAAAATATTACTTCACAAACTTTAAGTAAAAAAAGAGATAGATTTTTATACATTATAAAACTCTATCTCTATTATTATATATTTTCCCCAAGGGGTTGTGCGGAGCTTTGGAATATATTCCTAAGTCACAATGATAAAACTTTTAGCGTAGTTAGGTATGGTTATTGAGTAATGCTCCTGAAGAGCCACTAGATGCCATGAGGCGCGCGATTTAGTGTACCAGGATAGTATAAATTCCATAGTATTTGATACGCGCAACACTTGATGTCCGATTCATGCTTGATAATCGATGACAGTGTGCCAAGGGCTTGATAGTGTGGTTCATTAACTACTGCGTTACTGGTAGAGAAGAGGAACTCGTAGTTAAGTAACAGTTGCGTAGATCAATAGATCTGCAAGATAAAGGTGCACTTTCTGCGGTCGGTCCATGTGTGGGTGACCGTTTTCTTAACATACTGCGATTGAAAGAATAGAAAAGTGCATCTGTATCCTCGGACACTTGGTGCACTTTAATGTCTCCAGCGTATTTGACTTGTCTATGTTAAGATCATTATATTTTTTAAATTCATGCAGCTAAAATGATAACAAATTTATTATTACTTTATATTTTTCAGGGACAGATGAAATAAAGAGTAGCCTCATCATAAGTCACTGGTGACATAACCCCTCCACCTTTGAAATCACAAGAAAGAAGTGATCAATTTACACCAAGAAAAAAAACTTTTATCAAAAGTCGAGAAATTAAAACAAAAGCTGAAAGAACAACACAAGAAAATACGTAGCCTAGCAGCAAAAACTAAAATACAGGCTAAAAAAATTGTTACATTGCAAAACGTGCTTGAAGAAATTCATTCAAGACCAGGATTGAAAGATCACTATAGCGATATCACCATGGCATGTAGCAATGAATTCATACAGAATTTAATTAACAGTGTTAATGATAAAAAAATGTGGTAAAATAGTGTCTGCGTGTATAACGTCTAGTGTATAAGGAAGAATTACGAAAATTTGCTGTCACAATACATTTCTATAGTCCAAGAGCATATAATTATTTACGTGAAAAAATTGATTTGTGTTTTCCACACGTTAACACATTGCGTACTTGGTATGCCAGACAAGAATCTTTAAACACCATTAGAGAAATGAGACAAAAGAAGCCTGATCTAAAACTATGTCTCACGTTTGATGAAATGAGTATACGTGAATACACTGAATGGATAGGCCAGAAGCATTATGGACAAAGTTTCATGACGCATCAAACACTTCTTAAAAATGCGTCATGAGCTCTCGGAACAATATAGGCGTTCACTGCTTGTTTCTTTAGAATCTCATCGGGTGGCTAGGATTTATGCGGTCTTTCGCGCTCCGAGCAGAGTATTCATTATTTTAATTTTTCATTATCTCTTAACCTATGCGTCCAAATAACATGCTATAAAGAGCAAAGTTTATCTTCATAAAATTGTCTTGATGATGAAGTAACTTTCGTTCGTAAGGGTTAATATGCCGTGCCTAATAATAACGTTCATAAATCACTTTTTCATTTTCAATAAATTTTTTTTCACAAAATAACTTATTGTGCCTTATGTACAAGAAATAGACATGTGGTGAGTGGAAGGAAAAGGGGAAATTTCCCGCTGAGCAATGTGTTCTACCCGTAAAGAGCGACCAACGCTCCGATTGGTAGTTCGGAGCTATTCTATATATGCTGCCTTAACTTCGGAATTTTATTAGTGCGATTTAGGCTTCGATATGTTTCGCTTGTAGCGCGACGACAGTGCCGCCACATGCATATGGTATCGCAGACTTTTTTTGAGATGGAGCAAAGACCAATATTTTTGTAGAACATTGTATTTATGTAATACTAAATGTTACGCTAGCGCACGTGGATAAAGCAGTTAGAGAGCGCCTTTTCTTCCGACTTGCTTAACAAAAATCAATATATATGGTTAGTTGATAGTTATATGCTAGATAGCCTATACTATTCCTCATGAATCTGGCTATTATTTACAAAATTTTTAAATTTGAACTGGTAGTTCCAGAGATTAGCGTGTTTAAACAAACAAAATAACTCTTCCGTTTTATTATATTAGTATAGATTAAATGATTTTGTTTTTTTTGTTTCTGTTTCCGATTCTGTTTTATAAATATTAAAGGTAATAATTATATAAAAAATAAAGCAGCCATTATATACTTCGTGTCCTCGTTTTTTATTTTACCAGCAAAACATTTTATAAAATATAAATATTTATATTTGATTAACATTATGTTGAAAAAGAAATGAATTCCGGGGAAATTGTAAATGGCATTAAATATTTTTCTCCAAAGGTCAAAAATATAACTTTCCGATCTGATTGTTGGAGAAAATTGTTTCATTTTATCGGTAGACTTACCTCGCCTCTTCAGATATTATTGCAATTTTGTACATTTTGAATTAAAGTCCAACAAAAGGCAAGTGGTGCCGTGACACACTAAGGGTTGACAACCCGCTGGCCAAGCGATGGCTAAAGTCCCTCCTATGAGGCAATCTATAGGGAGGCCCATGTTGAGCAGTGGATTTTTATAGGCTGTAATGTATTATGGATGATAGAAAAGGCAGGTGAGTACAGCTTATTCCCGGTAACATGTAATTTGAATATTTTTAGTTATTTTTAAACTATCATAGTAAAAATTTAGTTAATTTTTAATAAAATAGTTTAGTGCACAAAAGTTATTCAGTTCTGTGCACTAAACTATTTTTTAGTCTTTATACCGGTTCCTGAACAAAAATTTTTCGATAGCCCTTTTAAGTAAAATGCCAACTCACACAATAACGAATCAAAATAGGTCACGCGTTTTCGGGCTGTCAGGTCGTCTATACGCCAATATATTCTAAGTCTATGGTTGTGCATTTCTTTCGATCTTGCTCGGTATTCTATGGATACAAATTACAAACGTCTCTTTTCCACGCTTAAGGTGAAAGCGCCAGGGTGGCCCGCGAAATTCAAATTTTCTTACGTTTTTTTTGGAATTTGCAGATAAGGGTTAGGTTGTATGTTTGACAAAATATGATTCGCAACCGTAACGAGTATGTGCTTACAGGATTATTATCATTAAAATCACCACTACAACCCTCTAAGTTCATATAATCCATTTTAATGAATTTTTCTGGAAATAGCCATGCAATGGGATTATACGAACTTAGAGGGTTGTATTGACAACATACATACTCGCTACGGTCGCGAATCATATTTTGTTAAGCATATAACCTGACACTGACCTGCAAATTGCAAAAAACCTAAGAAAATTTGAATTTCGCGGGCTACCCTAGCGCTTCCACCGTCTGTAGTGTTAGCGTAATCCTAGGTTTATGGTTTTAGCATTTTTTTTTTTGCTACCAAAGACAAAACATACGCTCAAATCACAAGTATCCACGCTAAAATATAATATTGACATTTCTCTGGAATTACAATTGTCAAATGTCAAGAACAAGTCTTTCACACGAGTGCTTTTAGTAAACGAAGACGTAATAAGGTTAGGATATTTTTATCCGTGTAAATCTAAGTGATCTTAGCATATATCTAGCTAACTTTATTTCTTTTTTAATTTGAAATCCATAATATTCACTTCCTAAAGCTTTATTTTTACAAATACTTCTTTTTATTTATTTGTGAATTTCCGTTTTTGTCGGCATACCATACTACCAGTTTATTTACCAAAATGCTTAGGAGCGTTTGTTTTTTTACGAGTGCATTAAAACTATTGGATGATGTTCCAGGACGTCATGCCATTCGCAAGATTCGTCCAGCCAGGGCGAGTAGCCCTGGTAGCAGAAGGCCCACTAAAGGGAAAATTGGTCAGCGTTGTAGATGTCATTGATCAAACTCGTGCCCTTGTTGACGGACCCGGCAGCGGCGTTTCCAGACAACAAATCCGCCTTAACCAGTTACATTTGACAAAATTCCGTCTCAAGTTTCCATTTACAGCACCTACACGTGTTGTAAGGAAAGCATGGACGGACGAAAAACTCAATGAAAAATGGGCTGAAAGCCAGTGGGCAAGGAAGTTAGAAAACAAAGAAAAACGGGCCCAAATGACCGACTATGACAGGTTTAAGTTAAGCTCAGCTCGCGTTAAACGGAACCGTATTAGAACTCCTGTTTTCAAGAGCTTAAAAATGAAGGCGGCACGTAATGGCACCTTTGGCAAAAAGAAGATTCCCAAAACACCTGTCAAGAAACCCCGTACTAAAAAAGAAACTTCTGCTAAGAAGCCAGCTAAAAAGTAATTCATGTTTTGTATCTCAAAGAATAAGTGTATGACTTTGAAAGGACTCATCAAAATAAAGAATTACTTTTAGCTAAATAACTGTGTTTGTTAAACCCTCAAATAATATGCCTAGCCCTTAAAAATTCTTATGAGGTGAGTCTGCTATACATTAAAGTAAATGTGGTTTTTTCTTTACTTAATTTGTTTAATGTTTCAGGTAACAATGTGGTGAACTGACAAAAGGTAAGAACTTCTATTCATTGTTAAATATTATGTAAATAACTATTATATACTATATAGCCCGGCAAACATTGTTCTACCCTTTCTGGGAGGTGGTGCCGTGACTTTAACTCTTAATTCATCCTGGACTAAATGTAAATATAAAATAATTAATTAATAGCACCACTTATTTGTTCTAGATTTTCTCCTTTTTTTTTTTTTGCACCTACTTTAAGCTGTTTTTTTTTTTGCCAGTCTCGAAAACTGCAATATAAGAAAAGGTTGAAAATAACAATACTAGAACTATTAATTTCATGTAAAATAGTCTTATCACCTTATGCTTTTATACTCAATAGTCTTGTTCGTAAATTATATTGAAATAAAACAATGTTAAAAATGTTATAGACGGTAAAGTGTGCAGACTTTTTTGTGTAAAATTTTAAAAAAAATGTTCAAAACTTTTTATATATCCTATAGTTTGACATAATCCACAAAACGACTACAGCATCCACTTACCAACGGGTGTGCTTGTTTTGTCACCCACATTTTATATTTTAAAAAATTTTAACTTCAAAGTCAATCCATATTTGTAGAGTAGAGTATGATGTGCAACAACGGGATTCATACACTTGAATTCACAATCGAAGGGTGAACATTCTCCTGAAGTTTACTATTCAGCATTTATCTAGAGGTTGCATGTTGAATCAATTTTTGCCTTCCTTTTAAACAATCACTGAAGTACCTATCTCTTACTTGTGCATTTAGCCAAGGTGACTATCTATAATCATTAATGTTAGTAGAAAACTTAAAATGAATTGGGGTGTCTGTAACAAACTGATGTCTCTAACAGTGACAGAAATAGATATTTTATACTTTGATTCTTATGAAATATTATGTGATGATTGTAAAAGTCTCGTTCGTATGAATTAAATGATTTTATTATTACCAATAGATCTGAAGAAATTAAATTCGTAATTTCATGTGTAATAATTGCCATAACTATAATAAAAATGCAATGATTTTATTTTGTTTGCAGACTTGAAGATTTGGATATTAAAGTGATCACTCTGTTCTTTAATGTAAGTAACTCTTCATTTGTATGAAAAAAACTATTTTAAGTAATATTTTTGGAATTAATAATATTTAAATTCTGATATTTTAGGGTTAATTTTAAAACAATAAAGAAAACATATAAAAACTCATACAAATATTAAATTGAAAAATACGTTTTTGAACTGATTACCCTACCAAAGCCGATACATGCAGTATAAATATTGCATGTGTGACTCTGGTTAGGAACATAAACACATTCTGTGTAGGATTACTTGTTTTGACAAGCTGTCCAAGGGTTGAATGTAACAATAATTACTTTGGGACTTAAAATTTGTAGAAGAATATGTTGTTAAGTTTGAGATATTTAGATTTTTTCTTTTTTTTTTCAGAACTGATGACATGCATCTGCAATATTTAATTTGTAAGTATATTTTAAATACAATGCTAGTCAATAAACTATTTATTTTTATGAATAAGAGATTGAAAGGAAAAAAAAAACATAATATTGTAGATATTTATGAAAGTAATAACTTCATTCACTAGCAACAGTTCTTTGTAACCATAATTGCATTCTATAAGTTTTAAGACTAATAATTTAAAAGTTAAAAAGAAAGGATTCTTAACATGATGATCTGTCCAATATTGAAAATATCAGAATGATAGTAGTTATTTTTTTTATGTAGAACATGATGATTATAAAAATAGTCTCGTTCGTATGAACTAAAGTAATGATTTCATCTTTACCACTTAACTGATTTGTTATCAACTCATCTTTAAAAATATTAAAACCATAAACAGTATCTCTTTAACATATTAACATACTTTCAGACTTGCAAGTAAGATCATTTGAGGTATCAAGAACTGAGGATACGTTACAATTATTTAGGTAAGTATACAGAAAAACATAGTTAATTAAAATTAATTAATTGTAAATACTTATTGTGTTTAATTAAACGTTGTGTATAAGTAGCGGCACGAAAGTCTAGCGGTGACCGTTATTGCGCACAAATTTCGCTGATTGGCTAGTGCACGTCCTCCACGTTTCGTTCAGCGCTAGACTTACGTGCCTCGACTTGTAGTGGCAACGTAAGAAAACCCATCGCCGCATTGCATCTCGTGGGTGCCATAACAGGTGACTATAAGATATGCGAGAAAGATCTTGTGGCTTCCGATAGAAGATTGTGTACTATCTCGTTTACGCCAGATAGAAAATACTTAAACTAATGGAAAGCAGCGTCGAAGGTGCGAGATGTCTGGTACTGCGATCGTAAAACTGCCGGCTATCGCCTGACAATTAGGCAAATCTGTCCTTCAATGAGAGAGCCCATGTCCAGTAGTGGACTTCTACCTAAAGATGAAGAAAATTTAAAATTAAATATGTATATGCAAATGAATAATAGCATATTAATCTGTCAACTATTTCTTATGTTGTTAAGTCCATAGAATTCAAAACATAATTTTACCCTACCAAAGCCGATGCATGCTATGACAAAACTAGCGTGTGTGACTCTGGTTAGGAACATAATCACACTCTGTGTAAGATGTGTAGCTAATATAGCCATATATCCAAGGGTTGAGTGTGACATTTCATATTTTAAATAAATAATAAAATAAAAAAAATATTACATATGCACATGGCAATTTGTATAAAAATTTAATTTTATTACAGCCTCCAGCACCTTGAGGGCTTGGAACCTTGTTTGTGGCAGTCATTTGGAGGCAGTCTAAGTCCAGTGGGGGGGGTGACTTGTGATGGACTGCTAAATGCCATAGTCTCCTTAGGTAATGTTTTTTAATAAGTCATTTAAAAACTAATTTTAGGAGTTTTATCTATATAATTTCACTTCTTTAAATCCCGACGTTTCAAGTGATTTTTAGAGCATTTTATTTAATATATAAACTGTTTCTGATTATTAAAAAAAAATGATGAAATTTTGTATCGCCCCTAGCTGTAGTTTGATGATTGATGATTCCTGATTATTTTTAAAATTACTAACTTTATATTTGTCCTTTAAATAGATCTAATTTATATAAATTCAAATTTCAGGTTAAATCTATTGCAGATGGAGACAAGAGGTATGGCTAAAATTTCTTTACTATTAAAATAACAATATAATATTAGATATAGTATTACAATGATGACTTTATGTATCGCCCCTATCTGAATTGTGATGATTGATAGTTACTGAGCAAAGTATTTTGACTTACAAATTTTAAGTTTATTATTATATTTGTTTATATATAATTTTTGTTTATTACAGGTAATTACTACTTACTGAGTTTACTGATGTGCATCCTTTTGATGGTGTGTTAATTGCAATAATAGTAAGTCCATTGCTATTTGTTCTTCATTAAATATTTGTATATTCAATAATTACTCAATATTTTTTTATTAAAAAGAGAATTGTTCCTTAGTTGTTGTAGCTCAGAAGTTAGTTTAGTTAGTTTTCATGGAATGCGGGTTCAATCTCCACCAGCAGTATTGATATTGTTAATTGTAATTTTGAATGCTGATTTACTGGCAGTGAAGAAAAACATTGTTAGGAAAACTGCATGTCTGAGGATTTGATATTTCAAGAACATGATATTGTGTAGTGGAGAGGATAAACACTGGAGAGCAGCGTGTGGGACTAATTTTTTCATAAATCTCAGAAATCAAAGGAGGTCAGAGTATTCCATGGGACGTGTACATGTGCTATTATATTACTTCTTTAACAATAACAATTGTTTTAAACGGCTCAGCAGTGCATTTTATTGATATTCTTGTAATAATAATAAAATTGAATAATGATGATAATTTATCGCCCCAGTCTGACTATTAAAATGTTGATTGATATATATCTACTGAACACCTTTCAATGAAGTATGTTTCCTGTAGTTTAATATTTTCTTGAAACTGACCTAAAATTTGATTTGTGTTTGTTTCAGATTAAATGGATGCTGATAAGCAATAATGTGTCAACCCACAAAAAGTCAAATTCAGAGATATTGATGTTTTCTGATAACGCGTTACTTAATATACATTATGCAAAAGAGTTTTAAGTTACTTAAATCAAATAAGTTCGGAAAAAAATAAATTATATCATAAAACAAATGGGAAATCACGTATACAACAATTGCCAAAACGCCATCAAGCTCCTTAACACGGTCAACATTCAAAGAAGCTCCATCTGTCGTCACTATAAAGATGTTATGAGACTTGATACTGTGTTGCGAAATATCATTCAGTTCTTCGGCCAGCGCCAAACAAAGAAGTTCACGTAAAAATTGAAAAAATAACTGATATTCCCATTGTAATTAGTTAATTAGTTGTACAAACCGTTGTTTTAGTGAATAGTATGTAATCTCTGCTGGGTTCATCAAGGTAAGTCAGTATTTATTCTGTTATTTTCTTAATAGGTTAGGCTGCCGATATAAATTAGAAAACTAATAAATTAAATATTTGTATAGTTATATTTCAAATGTAAAGCTTTTTCTTATACTAAACTAATGTTATTTGGTCCTAACATATTGATTTATTGTAACTTTTGTAATAAATAGGTATGATAACCCACTTGACTGATTATTGCTGAACAGCTAAGGACTTTTGAGTAAAACTTATGGTGCAGTTTACGATGCTTAACATATTATTGCGTATTGTAAGTTAGCTTCTACGAGAGATAATTTATATTTTAAGTACCTTGAAATTATATTGAAAAAATCGCTATCTAAATTAATCGCATGAGCTATATCGAGTTTTTAGGTATAACTTTCATAGACCTCCACCACTACTGCTAACTTTTTCCTTATTTTTATGTAGAATGATGCCACTGCCAAAATCAAGGAGTCAATTACTAGTCAATCTTGTGAACTGCAATACAAAAGATTTGAATAAAAATACTGAACATGCCAACACAAATAAACCTCAAGATATCCCTGTACCTAATGTTAGAACTGATCGAGACTTATATTATTCTATAGAATCATAAAACTCCATATGCTGTGATCTGATTACTTATACACTACCGGATAATATTTCAATGGATAGTATTTCATCAATAATTGAGTTACTCGGCAATTCAGAAATAAATATTGTACCAGAGCCTTATGATGTGCCTCAAGATCTTTTGAAAAAATTAATCTTTTCTTTCCGTCAATTGAAGAAAAGAAATTGAAGTTTGTAAATGATGAACCAAATAATAATGAGGACCAACAAACTAAGATAGTTACTAATTTTAATGGAGAAAATGGTTCCAATGCGAATGCGAAAGACGATGATAAATGCCAACCAATAGAGATATTAACTAATGAAAATGACAAAAAAAGTTCAAACACATTTGATAAAAAAGCATTCGAATGTGAATATTTCTAGTCCTGTTTTAGAAAACGACCCTCGTCCTACTATTGATGTAAGTGATGTATAAGCCACTATTCATATTTTAAATTCCGTTGGTCAGAATCGTAAAAACATTAAAGACCCTGATTATATACCCAAAAATACAATGGAAGACCTAAAAAATAAAATGGTAGAATTACATAGACTTCTGGTCTATGTAATTCTACTATTTTATTTCAGCAGCAAAAGAAAGAAAAAACGAATACCAATCAGGATTACTTCAGTGCTAAAGGAAAAAAGTTCGTGCGGAGGAATTTAACAGCAGCGATTGTAAATGTCCTTTAACATGTACAGAAAAATTGTCTATTGATCAGCGTATAAAGGAACATTTTGGAGTTCTGGTTCTTATGAAGCAAGGCGCGCAGTTTTACAGAGTAGTGTTATTGAAGCCAAAAAGAAAAGAAACTATTCCATAAATTCCAAGCGAGCTTTTAGTATTAGTAGAAAATGTAAATTGTGTGTCTGTAAAAAAGCTTATACCCGAATGGGCGTGAACTATTAGCTGCAAAAATTCAGGATTTAAAAGATTTTTTAAAGCTCATTCCAACAGATGCAAAAGGATTTTATAGTTTCTTCAGGAACGTTGAGTCGGGTGATTTTATTGATGATGAAGAAAATTTGATTGACGATTAAGCACTTTCTTGTGAACTTACATGTTAGTTGTTGTAATTTCTTGGCTATATTAGTTAAAGCAATGATCAGATTCATTTTAGATAATATTAAGTCAAAAAAAATTGTAGAAACAATGAGACTGATTAAAGTTCTGGTTACATAAATACTTTAGTAAAGTAAAGTTGCAGCCTATTTACGTCCCACTGCTGGGCACAGGCCTCCTCTCATTTCTGGGAGGGTTTTAGGGCAAGGAAATGTCCACCGCGCTGCCCCAATGCGTGTTGGCGAACTTCACATGTCTTTGAAATATTTTTTGTCTTATTTCTCAGACATGCAGGTTTCCTCAAGATGTTTTCCTTCACCGCCGAGCACGTGGTAAATCAGCACTTAAAATTGCAATTTACAATTTCATTGGTGCCGGCGGGGATCGAACCCGGGTTGCTCGAGTACTGTGAAGCTTACAGCGAGCGCTACCCATCTGAGCATCACGGCTCTACCCACATAAATAATCTACCCACATAAATACTTGCTCAGTTGAAAATAATAGGGCTAATCAGGAAGAAAGACTAAGTTTTGTAAAAGAATTATTATTAGGTAAATTAAATAAATTTATAATATTAATTATTTGTAAATAATTGTTATTGTAAGTTACATATTTTTGAGTTGTTTAAGTTAAAATGATAAAAAATATTCTGTTAATTAACTAACTTAACTGTAATAAAATGTTTACAAAAATAAGACTGATTTAAAGTTTTTGATGATTATTTTATGCTTACCAAAGATACTTCGCTAAGACACGATCGTCTGAGGAATAGAAAAAATGATTTTTCTTGAATATAGAATATTCTAATCCTCAGACTTGTTTAAAAAAATTGCTTTCTTTTATTTTTATATCAATAAATATTAATATTTACGCCTTTTATTTAAAACTTCTTAACAAATTGTAAGTAAGAATATACTTTTATCAATATTCATTTATGCTCCTTAACATACATTTACTTTCATTAAATCCCATAATTAGAATTTAGCAAAATAATGTTATGTTCCTTAATTTCCTCTTTCGAATACTATAGTCTATTCCATATTTTGCAATATGCAATAATCTAATTTGTTTAAAAAACTTAGCAGTATTTTCTCTTTTTATGATAAAAATCTACTTTCAATCCATTATTCCTTTCATCAAATAGAAAAAACCCGGTGTCAACATATTTTTTTCAAACAAATTTATTGAAAATTGGCATGACATCTTTAGACGGCATTTTCTCAAAATAAAGTTCGTGTGGCTTGACATGGTATTGCTTATCAGCATCCAAATATGGATGAATTCATAACGTTAAAAGGTAAAGAATTAAATTATTAAAAAAATGTTTTTTTTATTTAATTACACTCATTATGTAATATAACTTCTGTTAAATAATTTACACAAACTTTGTCTATATTCTGAATAATAATAATAATCTGCTTGATTTTACGAGGAGTGTTAAAGTTTCCATACTTAACATTAACTATGTTTTTTTCATTACAATCTCTCTGATGATAATTTATCGCCCCAGTCTGAATAAATGTGTTGATCGATATACTGATAATTTAATCAGCAAATATAATAATGACATACTCCAAAACAACTCTGTTAACCATATTTTACCTTGTTTCAGATTAGTATATTCTTGAACCAAGAGAGAGCAATACTGTACAGAAAACAACAGGTAATATAATATTGAAATATTGTTTATTTTTTTATTATAACCCTTTCATTCATTAAGACAAATTTGTTGATGATTAAAGAATGCGTACTTACAGTCTGATAAAGTGTGTTATAAAAATATAAAATCGAACAATCCACAATTAAATCACACAATAATTACCTTAATCACTTTTGTTTACATCTTAGTTAAAAATTTTAATATTTCAAAAAATAATTTTTGGTTCCATTTGAAATACTACAATAACATTTGTCCATAAATGATGGTATAATACAAGCATATAACATATAATTTTGATGAAGACTTCTAACTGATAGCTATTCTTAAATAGTTGTGAAGCAAAAAAATGTTAAGAATATAACATAATATATTGTCCTTTTTTTTTCAGGAAAACCCAGGTCACATTAAATGTCATTCAGGTTAGTATTAAAAGACATTGTGCAATATACAATATTTTATTACTCTTTGTTACTGGCTCTCAAGTATACCATAATGTCCTCCAGAGTCCAGACCAAATTTCGTTGTCCTCGTCTTCACGGGGGCGGGTCATAAAGGTGAGCCATTTGCGCAGGACAGGATGATATTGCTCCGGGTGTATGCAGTAAGCACAGGTACACTCCCTATTCCCTCACTTTTATAGTCAAGTGGGACGGCATTCCGACCACGACCAGAGAGATAAGGCGCCGGACCAACGGATTTACGTGCTTTCCGGGACAAGGGGTGAAGCAGCATTTAGATGAGCCATCAGTCATTACAGATAAAAGCCTACTGCTGAACAAAGGCTTCCCCATTGAATTACCTCATAAGGGGGATTTTGTCATTGTAGCCACGATTGGCAGGCGGGTTTTGACAACCGCGTTTTATTATTTTGACGGGATTTGTTTCGTGCGATGATATAGGATCATAAATTATTCAATTATTATTAGCATGCACGATTGATAGTAGAAAATATCGTCCTTTTTCATCAACCCCAAAAAGTCCACTGCTGGACATGTGCCTCTCCTGTTTAAGAAAGCCTTTTGTCTTATTTGTCACGCATAGCCGATCGCAGTACCAGAACCCCAGGCGTCTGGTGGCTTTGACGCTGTTTCGCCGCTGTCTAACGTATGCGCGAGGTGGTTAAACCGCCATCTATCTGGAGCTATAAGATTTTACTGGCTTTTCCAACTGTCGATTCTTAAGACACCCACAGGATTATATTGGTATATTACAACAGAAACTTACAAATCTAAAGCAAAAATTTGACTAAGTGAAACTGCGGCAGCCTAATGCAGTCTGTTGTGAAGAATATCTTTGATAATTATAACTTAAAATACTATAATTTTAATTAAAAGTAATTTAAACAATAATATTCTAACTACCTAAGATTCAATGCTAAAAGCGGTTACTAAAGTCTGGTAGTGAAAAAATAAAAAGTAATAGAACAAGTTTTACAAAATACTTAATTTCTTGTTCAATGATGATAATTCTAGTTATCCCTGTCTCACAAACTCATGGGGAGAATATGGTATGGTAACATCTGAAGTATTTATCAATAGGTTACTGTCCATTAGTAATTTCATATATACATTTAGAAATATTTGTATTTACAGATATTATCCCCATACCTGTTATCGCACTTAAGGGAAAAAAGGTAATTTTATATTTCAGTTTTATTGTATATTTGTATATTTTATTTGTATATATTTACTTGTGCTTTTAAATGACAACCTCAGATACATCAATAGATAGGATAGATAAAACACAAGTACCGAGATCTGTATGAAAACTATGCGTGCCGCATAATTATCTACCTGCTTACTATGACGTCCCAGTTGTTTTATTTACACGCTATTTTAATTACAATATGACACTAGTGAATGGCGTTACCTTTCCACTGGAGAATTATTTTACCACCTTTAACTCTCCTACTCACAGCTGTGATGATTTTACATTTTCTTAGGACGTAATTCTACATTTTTCTACTGATAATGATTAGGTGGCATGTCACCTTACTGTGACGTTTAAATAATGCCGCAACGCACGAAGTGGGTACACTTGCGTTATTTATTTGAATCTGTCTGTAGTGTGGATTTATCATGAGAATCTCTATCTAATTTGAAATATAATGATATACTGAGTGAGATACAGCAAGAGCTAGAAAATTGATTTCATTTTATATGATGATAACTATAGTTATCCCTGTCTCACAAAATCATGGGGAAAAATATGGTATATGGTAACAACTGAAAAGCTATTACTGCATGCAACTGTCTTTTAGCAAAAAAAATATTCTTGACAGTATTTTTCTTTTTTCTTCCAGGTATTTTCAGTTTCTTCACATTCATTAAGAGGTCAGTTTAAGGAATTATTTTTTTTTTTAGTTAAGATTTTTCAACCTTAGTTAAACTTTTTAATTCTGTTAAAAATTTGAAACAAGATGAAAGTAATTGCATGCTAAATTATCTCTAGGTGGTAAGACTCATTTTATGTATAATTATAGGCTGTGAGGCATTCAGTCTTAGTACTCGGAGGTGACAACGCATCTGTAGCCTTTGAGGAGTTTTGGCGGGAACTTGACAGGCGGCGGTTTGCTGCTCTTGTATTATTGTTTAAATAATGGTTTGAAGTGGACTTTGATATGTAAAAGTGGTGCGATTATGTGTATTAAGTGTCTGCGCATGTGAACTATTACTGGAAACTGAAACAAGTGCTTTGATGGTGATGTGATTCTCAAAATAAGGTGTCTTATCTGCTTAGGCATCTTGAGATACCATCGCCAACCGTCAGCTACCTGTTGGCTCAAGTTGCCGTCAAAATCTCCCAAGGGCTGCACAATGTGACGCATCAACATATTGTGAAGCAGTATACTATGAAGGATAATTATTCACGTTTTTTCAGTTAATTCGCTATACCTGAGGTACATGAAATGGGCTCTTTAGTTTGACCGACGGTTGCTATACTATAGATGCTCAGATGTGAAAGATGTAAAAAAAATGTTCGATTAAAAATTATTAAGTCTGCTGCTTTGACATTTTGAAATATTCTATAAAAGTTACTGGAAAATAACATTAGCATGATTGACAAGTACAATTTTTTCTTTATAATTTACGTTATTTAAATAAAGCTGCAACTTATATAAGTTGTTGATAATATTATTTGACATAATGTTTTGCATGACAGACATAATATATTGAGGTTCTATCACCCAGTCTGCTCGTTGTCTGACTGAACCACTGAATTTGAGCACTCACAGATCCAGTCTTTAAATTAAATAATTTTTTTTATTACAACAATTAAAATACTTGTTTTCAACTGTTTTCTAGTAATAGTAATCATCATCATCATCATCATCATTATTACAGCCCTTCACTAGTCCACTGCTGAACATAGGCCTCCACCAAGCAATTCCAAAAAGCACGGTCTTTAAAGACTTTGTGTAAGAAAAAGCCGTTTTGTACTTGTTTATTGTTATTTTTAACATGATGAATTACTAAGTTATCCCTGTCTCACTAAACCATGGGGAAAATATGGTATGGTAACAACTGAAACTATCTCACATACTTCTTTTAAGTAATACCATTCTAAAAACCAAATAATAACTATTCTATAATTTTATTTGCAGATTCAGTCGGATTCACGTGAACCATTATTGCAAAATATATTTAAAAAAAGGTAAATTTATAAAATCATTTAATTTTGTACCAACACATAGGATTACGATTACACAGTATTATATTTTATTCATATTTTATACAATTGAGACAATTCTTTCGAATTATCGTTTGGTTCGTATACCATAATAAGGATATCATTATTACGTATTTATAACTAAACTATTCAATAATTTTTAGACTAGAAAACGGAATAATGTAAAGGAAATTATAAATTTGTACGGTTGGTTCCTGCGTTAGAAAATGTGTTTCTAATAATTCAAAAATTAAAATCCAAAGTTGAAAACAATGATGTTACAACAATGAATAACATCATCGTTCGAATAATTATATCTATCCTATAGCAATGAGTGGTGTGCCTTATTAAAAAATATAACTGAAAGTTAAGTGAAAGATGATTTTTTTTTCTTCTAGTAAATATTCTGCACAGCTCATTGCATTGCCGATTGACCAACAAGGAACTAGCAACCACTGATTGTGAAAAATCCATTTACAAACGATAAATCCAAATAAAATGCAAACTTAATATTATGGCGTTTGCTAAAAAAGTGTTGTGACTTGTGACGAATATATTATGTTATAGGTATTATATTAGCAGTTAGACAATTATATTATGGAGTTCTTTCTTTTTGGAAATAAATGCTCTACAAAGTACAAACTGCACTCATGATGATTTTTAGACAAGCATATATCTGCAATTCCTTTGAAGAATTTCAACTTCTGAATAAATTTAATATATTATAGTATTATTTTTTTAGCTACAAAGATGATCACACTTCCAATTGTTTTCAGATTTACCAGACCTACAACTACAATACAATACCTAAAAGGAACGAAAAAGAAAACGGTGCAATTTTTCTTGCAAATATAATTGTTTTTAAAATATTTTTAGTTTTATTTTAAAATACATAATATGTAATCTAGAATAGTGAGTAAATTCTGCTAACCCTTCAGCTGCCGTTGCCCGTAGGACGCACCTTTATTTTTGTAACCTGAAACCAGGTCTATCTCACTCCGCGCTTTAGATATGAAATACACCTACGCTGCGCGGGTCCGTATACGGGGCTAGTTCCGTAGGTTATAGTATAGGTTAACATAAGAATTATTTTTCTCTATTTACTTTTAGGCACTTGATATTTATTTTTGAGTTTTTATTCAAGTATGACCTCTCAAAAAGGTACTGCATATCATACGGGTGCTTAAATAACAATAGGAATGTCGACTTCTCATTCTTTACTGTTCCTAAGGATACCGAAAGGTAAATATATTATTTAATGGTAGATCTAGACACTTAGTTACTGATGCCATAGTTACAAATTTATTATTTGACTAGCTTTTTACCCGCGACTTCGCTCGCGTGATCTTATTTTTTAGAGACATCATTAAATGCTATTCCACGCCCACTTTTAAGAGTCATATACATCTATGTCAGTTTTTCAAAGAATTTTTTGAATTCGATGACGTGTAGGGTAAAGGTTGGCTTTATGGTGATAATAAGAAAAAAACTTAAAATATTATTTCAAAATTAACATTTATTAGAAAACCTCTTTACTTATTACAATAATCAGACTTCTTTTCAATAATTATTAATCACAGCAACTTAAATTCTTAAACATTAATAGGAAAATCAGATCAAACAAATCTTTTTGGTGTTGGCAATATGGAGATACGGGGGCAATTTGGTGATACCATATGTGGCAATATGGTGACAAGTCTATTCAGGTGCCCAATCACTGTCATCAGTGCCTGAAAAGTCAATTTTATCACAATTATCACACAGGAACTGTGGCGACTCTGTGCCAGTACATTCTTGGTGGTACCATTTGCCGCAGCTCATGCACTCTACCCATACAGCTCCGTTCCTAAGTGCCACATCTTGGGAGTAGCGAACACCGCAATAGTCACACATCGTACTTTTATTTGATTTTGGTGTTTTCTCTACCTTGACTCTTGGTAGTTTACGTACGTACGGTAGGTTGCTTTCAGTTGAAGGTCCAGGAGTTGGAGAAGCAGAGGGGACACGAATCGAGGTAACGGTCTCCTCACTGGTAACGGCGACTGTGGTTTCGTATGATATGGCGACGATGTTTTCTTCAGGACTGTCCATGTTGTTCGTGCTTTGAGGTGTTAAATATCGGGCCTGTGGATTCCGCTTAGCTCGTCGGGTACTAGAAGAAGAAGACTGTGGTACCTCAGGAACGGAAAGTAAAGAGAAAACTGAAGGTGACGCAGTTTCACGATTGACAGCAGAAGCTTGGGCATTATCAGTGGAAGATTCAATATTCTGTGACTGTAGGTCACTTGGCTGCATCAATGATGGGGCAATACTTTCATCAGAAATGGCATTTCGATCAAATGGCGCAATGCCAGTTTTTCGAAAGCCGTTCATAATTATTGACGGCTGAAATGCATGCTCGTAGGCTGGTGTTAATAGGCGACAAAAGTCAAGCCTTGTTGGAGCCCTTGTTTAGCCCATGCATTTTTCAGTGACTTGTAAACAGAAACGTCCAGAGGTTGCAGGAGATGGCTTGTGTGACTTGGAAAAGTGAATAGATGAATGCCATTTTTTGTAGCGAAATCTATAACATCTTGGCTGACATGGGTAGAGTGAGAATCCATGATTAAAAGTACCGGTCTAGCTGGTGGAATATGAGCTTCAAAATGATGCATCCACTCCAGAAATAGTTCAGAGTTAATCCATCCGTTATTGGATAATCTCACGATAGACCCTTCCGGAGCACCATTCGCTAGATCATTGACCATTCGGACACCTTTAAAAATGATCAAGGGGGGTACAGACGCTCCGCTCGCACTACAGCACCCAAGCACCGTTTGTGTGACACCTTTCTCTGCAAAAGTTCTACTGTAAATTACCTTCTTTCCAGTTTGAGTGACAATTTTTGACGGTTTTACGACGAACGTTACACCGGTTTCGTCGCAGTTATAAATCCTTTCAGGCTTTTGCAGAATATCCAACTCAATAACGACGTCCAGTAGCTTTTTATAAAAATCGTCAATGTGTTGTCTGTTAGCAGTAACAGCTCGGCATGCTGCAAGCTTTTCTGGCGTGCGCAAAGAAAGCCCGTACCGTTCTTTAAACGACCACCACCAATAAGACCCAGCTTTACGTTTAGCATCGTTAAACTGGTGATCTTTTCCTGCTTGGACTGCTAAAGCGTAACATTTAGCTTTGATGTCTGTGATGCTGAGACCAAATCCTAGTTCTTGCATTTTAATTATGTAGGAAACAAACTTACATTCAAGGTCGCTGTCTAATGTGAATGGTCTCCCAAGTTTAGGTAAGTCGAAACTTTCACCTCCATGAGTAGCTATGTGTCTTCTCAAAGTAGACCACGGTATGCCATATTCCTTCGACGCCTTGTACATCATCATCATCATTCATCATTACAGCCCTTCACAAGTCCACTGCTGAACATAGGCCTCCCCCAAAGAATGCCACAAAGCACGGTCCTGAGCCACCTGCATCCATCGACTTCCTGCATATCTTACCAGGTCGTCACTCCATCTAGTGGGGGGACGCCCTACACTTCGCCTGCCGGTACGAGGCTGCCACTCGAGAACCTTTCTTCCCCATCGGTTGTCGGTTCTTCGAGCTATATGGCCGGCCCATTGCCACTTCAGCTTACTAATCCGTTGGGCTATGTCGGTCACTCTAGTTCTACTGCGGATATCCTCATTTCTGAGTTTATCACGCAGAGAAACTCCGAGCATAGCCCTCTCCATAGCTCGCTGAGCGACCTTGAGCTTCCTCATCCGGCCAGCAGTGAAGGACCACGTCTCAGTTCCGTATGTCATCACTGGCAACACGCACTGGGTGTACAGTCTCGTTTTCAAGTTTTGAGGTATACCTGACGAGAAGATGTGCCGTAATTTCCCGAACGCTGCCCAACCGAGTTGAATCCGTCGGTTGACCTCTCGGTCGAAGTTGGACTTACCTAGTCGGACTATTTGTCCCAGGTAAACATACTCGTCAACAACTTCGAGCTTAGTGTTCCCAACAACTACCGGCATAGGTGTGACATGGACATTAAACATGATCTTTGTTTTGTCCATGTTCATCATAAGACCTATCCGTTGGGAAACACTATTGAGGTCATTGAGCATAGTGCTTAGGTCCTCCAGCGATTCTGCCATAAGGACTAAATCGTCAGCAAATCGGAGGTGAGTGATGTACTTACTCGCCATTGATGTTGATACCGTATCCTTTCCAGTCCAGAAGCTTGAAAACATCTTCCAATGCAGCGGTAAAGAGTTTCGGGGATATGACGTCACCCTGTCTTACACCTCTCTGCAATTGGATAGGTTTCGTACTCTGGTTCTGTACTCGGATAGCCATCGTAGCCCTACTGTACAAGCACTTCAACACTTCGATATACCGACAGTCAACTTGGCATCGCTGAAGGGACTGCAGCACCGCCCAAATTTCGACGGAATCAAAGGCTTTTTCATAGTCCACATACGCCAGACATAGTGGCAAATTGTACTCCTCGGACTTCTGTACAATTTGCCGAAGGGTATGTATGTGGTCTATGGTGCTAAAGCCTTTTCGGAAACCGGCTTGTTCGGGAGGCTGGAAGTCGTCAAGTCTGCGCGCGAGACGATTCGTAATGACTCTCGAAAACAGCACGTAGACGCGGCTCAGAAGGGAAATCGGTCTGTAGTTCTTCTAGAGAGCGTTGTCGCCTTTCTTGAAGAACAAGACCACCGCACTTCTGCTCCACGCCTCCGGTGTAATGCCACCATGGAGGACGGAATTAAAGAGCTTCTGAAGGACTTCAAGTACCGGTTTTCCACCCGCTTTCAGAAGCTCCGCTGTAATTCCATCCTCGCCTGGGGCCTTGCTGTTTTTAAGGTGCTGGAGAGCCATTCTAATCTCGCTCAGACTGACGTCCGGGATATCTTCGGAATAGTGTCGGATGAGACTCGCTCTTGGATCGTTACTCACACTTGCGTGCGGCTCCAACGATGACGTGTACAGCTGCCCATAGAACCTCTCAATCTCACTCAAAATCTCAAGTGCCCCGGAAACGATGCTGCCACATTCTGTCTTCAGCTTTGACAGTTGGCGCTTTCTGGCAGACAGATCTCTGGCAAAGACTTTGGAGCCTTGGTTCCGCTCGATCGCTTCTTCAATACGAGCTGTATTGAATTTGCGTAGGTCCCGCCGCATGCATTTGGAGATCTGTCTGTTCAGTTGCCTGTATGCTGTTAAATCTGTTGAAGAATGTAGCTTCATCTCCCGTCTAACAGCCATGAGATTAAGAGTGTGATCGGAAAGTTTTTGTGTTCTTCTGCGGCGGGTCTTGCAGAACTTAGCTCCGACCGCATGGACAGTTTCCACGAGCTTGTCATTCAAATCGTCCACTTCATTGCAGTCTTCTAGGCACTGAAAACGGTTTTGTAACTCGAGCTGAAAGGTTTCGGGACTTTGGATTAGAGCACGAGGGGGACGGAGCGTTGACTTCATTAGACGAGACCTCTCCAACTTAACGTTTAGGTTCAGTGTGCCTCTAACCATTCGGTGATCGCTGCCGGTTTTCACCCTCGCGATCACTGAGACATCACTGAACAGTTGTCGTCTGGTCGTCATAATGAAGTCAATCTCATTTTTCGTCGAACCGTCGGGGCTCGACCAGGTCCACTTCCTGTGGGGCCGCTTCTGGAAGAAAGAGTTCATCATAAAGAGTCCCTCTTTCTCCATGAAGTCGGCCAGCTGCTGGCCCCTTGGGTTCCGTTGCCCTATTCCAAATTTCCCTACTTTCAGCTCACCGTTCTCTCTTGTGCCTAGTTTTGCATTGAAGTCTCCCATTAACACCGTATATTGGGTTTTGGAGGAATGCATGGCTCTAGAGATATCCTCATACATTTCCTCCACCTCCCCATCGGGGTGTGCCGAGGTTGGTGCGTAAACCTGTATGACCTTCAGCGAATACCGTTTGGTGATTCTGAGTATAAGGTACGCAACCCTCGTCGACACACTCAATATTTACAACGTTGTTAACGAGAGACTTGTGGACGATAAATCCGACACCTCCTTGGGACAGACGGTCGCCCTCCCGGTAATAGAGCAAGTTGCCGGATTCGAGGATTACCGTGTCCTCCCCCTCTCTTCGGACTTCGGATAATCCTATAATATGCCAGCGTAACTTGTCTATCTCTTCTTCCAGCTCCACAATCTTCTCGTCAGTCCTCAGGGTGCGTGCGTTGTATGTTGCCAGGTCGAGTCGTCGTAGGTGGCAACCGAACCTCCACCGGAGATTCTTAGCACCCCCTGCCCCGCCGTTACCATGGTCGCCACCGTAGCCAGGAATAGCGGGGCCGCCGGGGACTGGGGGCCGTTTATTATTGTCATTGCTCATGGGGGGTATATTGCCATAGTTGCCACGCTTGGCGAGCGGGTTGGCAACCGCAGTTTTTTTTATTGTTATTTTGGCTATTATCAGGAAGATGCTGCTGCCCATCTCCTGCCTGTTTCCCTTTGTCGCCTTTTACGACACCCACGGGAAGATATGGGGTAGTGGATATTCTTAACCGCCACTACACGGCCTTGTACACTGACCAATTATCCTTTATAACTTTCATATAAGCCTCCTTGAAGCGTGAAGAGTCATAATTTCTGCGTTTCTCGCCCTTCATTTTCCTTTTATTTGCCTTTCCGGACTTGTTCCTGTAAGAAAAAACATCCAATACGTAAGACTATAACCCGGACTAATGAAACACAACCCGATATTTTTTTTAACAGAAAGATACAACATTTCGAGCTTCATCTACCCTGAAAACCCCATTCAAATTAAGCTTGAAATAAAATAAAAATAAGCTATGTAATGTTTTTGGTGATCTTTACGTACCGATTATCCTCCATTTTTTCGCATATTTTGGCGCGAAACAAATAAACCGCGTCCGGTGAGGACAGCGACCAGCGGCCAAATTATAAAGGTACTCTGTGGGCCAAATGAAAGAGAGATGAACATACTCGCCTTCAGTTCATTGAATGAACGCAAAACTCGCGCTGGGCATTATAAAGACCGTTGAAAGCAAAATTATCACCATATTGCTATATATCACCATTTAGCCAACCTTTACCATATTCAGATGTATCCTTATGAAAGATAAATAGTCTTAGAATCAAAATTTACTCTTTACATTCATTCATAATTATTGTTAATATAGGTTTACCAAAATAGTTATGAATTCATGGTTTTTTATGTCTTTTATTTTATGGTAATTCATGGTAATTTATATTATTTATCTTTGGAAGAAAATTCCATAAAAATTTGCGTGAAAGAACATAATTCTGATGTGAAGCACCGACGCTCCGAGAAATCTGAAACTATGTCAACATGTTGAGTATGGTCCCAACCATTATATCAGATCTGATAGACAACAAATCAGCCCCCGTCCCCCCCCCCCCCCCTCTCCATGAGTTCGTTATTGTGCCCGAAACGTCAAGAATTATAAAAGTTAAAATTAAACACGCTAACATCCTAAAGATTACTTTTATTGCAAATTAAGATGTATTCGCAGTGAACGTAGGTAGAACTACACTCATGATCCGAAGCAGAAAAATGTTCGCCTTGTGGCGGCGAAAAAGAATCTGCCACCTCATAGCGTTCCGTGTGTGTCCTAAGAGGCGATAGAGGAAAACAAACGGGAGATGGGCAACATCATCTTCCTGACAACAGTTCAAAATTATAAAGGCTGAGGTTGCCAACACGCCTGCCAAACGTGGCAACTATAGCAAATATCCAGCCTATTTGACAATTTATATACCTATGTTCAGTTCAGTGGAATTCTGATAGGTTGTAATGATAACGATGATGAGTTCTATTCTTTCGAATCCTTGTTACCGTTAATATTTGCGGTAGTGTGAAAACAAAAAAGTAACATCTCCGAAAATATGAATGATATAAAAACAGCATAATTGCCCCTTTAAAACTAAAAAAGTAGCAGCCTCCATACATGTCACTACTGAGCATAGGCCAACAGAGCTTTTGGCCAAAAAAAGTGCCAACGCGCAATTATCTCAGCTGGGGAACTTCTTAGATATGCCGGTTTTCTTTCACTGCCGAGAACGTGGTAAATCGACACTTCAAATTACAATTAACATAAATGTAAAAGTATATAATAATGCTTATGTACTATGAAATTTACTTTTGCCTTTGGCAAATAAAATAATTCTTTGTTTAAGTAAAATCTGCTATCTTTGATATTTAAAGTATTTTTTTCGCAACAGCCTGTTTATTTACATATCTCATGTGAGCTATGAAACCACGACTGTCACAAAAATCTTGATTTGTCTGATAATATAAAAACTCAAAAATCCAACAAACTGATTTATAAATCTCATTAAAGGTATAAAAACTAAAGTAGCAGTTTACAATTACACAGCTTACTAAGTCTAAAGCGGGGAATTCACTTGACGGACATGCCCGCGGGTATGTCTGTCATACAGACAGACATGCTCGGTTTAAAACAAACTGATGAGTCTGTAGTGTATTGCGGCGACAGGCATGCCCGGTCAGTGAATTCCCCGCTTAAGTCTCACTACTGTGCACATGGCTCACCATTACCTATAGTGTTTGTGAGCAGAAAAGAGTATGCCGCAATCCTTCAACTACTACTCGGACATTAAGGTTTGCCCACGAAGTTATTCTTCACCAACTTCACCGGGTACGTGGTAAGTCAGCACGTAATAGAATAGAATGATTTTTATTCATACATAACATAAACACTCACGCCTGTCACCCAGAGGGGTAGGCAGAGATTATGGACTTCCATTTGGCACGATCCTGATTCCTGACACACCTCTCTCGCTTCCTCCACATCCATACACCTACGCATACACGCTCGTCGGTTAAAGGTACTCTTGATACGGCCCATTTTTAATATATCGCCAATTTGGTCGATAAACTCGCCTAGGGCGACCCTTCCGGACTATGCCGTTCACCTCTGCAACATAGATTTGCTTTGTCACTCTTTCCTCATTCATTCTTTCTACATGGCCAAACCACCGAAGCATTCCTTTCTTAATCCTGGTCACAACATCATCTTGCAAACCACACTTCTCTTATTAAACAATTTCTCACTCTGTCATTCAGCTTCATCCATTCATTATTCAATATGGATTATTACATAATACTTATTGAAAGTCATTATTTTATTTACCACTGGTTCGGAAAATACCTCTGTCCTGGGAAGAACCAGCAAGAAACCTAGCGGGAATTTTTTATAACAAAATTTCACTTAACAATAATTTTGTTTATACAATTTTAAAGAATTTTCAAGAACCAGCATGGTGGTGATCACCTTATTCCCAGGGGTTATTTTCATTCATGTATTCCTTGATATTTATAATAACTCTTTTTGTACAGTTTTTCTTTAATATAACTTTTAAACTTGTTTATTGACAAACTGAACATGTTCTGGGATTATGTTGTAAAAGCGTTGCCCCATAAATGAATTACTAATTCTGTGGAGTCTAGTAACTGGCATTACAAGCTTATGTTTGTTCCTAGTGTTTAAGGTATGAACATCCTTATTAAAGCCATTTATGTTTTTATGTACCTACATACATTACATTTTAATAAATATATTACGATGCCAAAGTTAATACCTAAGTTTATTTCTTTAAATTTTTCTCTGAGGGACTACAATTTAGATTATAAATCGCCCGTATGGCTCTCTTTTGCAAAACAAATATAGCTTCAATATCAGTCGCATTACCCCTTAGCAAAATTCCATAAGACATTACGCTATGAAAGTAACTAAAATACACTAACCTAGCTGTCTCAACATCTGTGAGACTTCTAATCTTTCTTACAGCATATGCTGCAGAACTAGGTCTGCCTGCTGCTTTAGATATATGGGGGCCCCATTGAAATTTCGCGTCAATAGTAATACCAAGAAAAACGGTGGTATCCACAAGACTCAACTCCTCCCCATTTAAGAGCACATTGGTTTTCGAATGTTTTACATTAGGTATTGTAAATTTAATACGTTTTGTCTTATTGCCGTTTAAGAGCGAATTGTTGGCGTTAAACCAATGTAATAGTTTCGATAGAGCATTATTTATATCGTCATATTTAATTGACTGCCGTTTCAGTTTGAAAATTAAAGAGGTATCGTCAGCAAATAATACTATATCGTGATTGTCCCCTACAAGATAAGGTAAGTGATTAATATAGATTAAGAACAAGAATGGGCCAAGAATCGAGTCCTGAGGAACGCCCATTGATAGTACCGATCCGGAGGAACATTTACCATTGATGACGACTTTTTGAGTTCTGTTACTTAAATATGAAGTAATAAGTCTAAGCGCCAAATTTTTTTCATGTATCATGATGAACACAATCGAAAGCCTTGGAAAGGTCACAGAAAATACCTAAGGCATCTTGTGAATTCTCCCAGGCATTAAAAATATATTTCATAAGCTCAACACCGGCGTCAGACGTCGAGCGACCCCTTGTAAAACCAAATTGATTTTTATGAAGTAATTTATTTGTATTAAAAAAATTACCAATTGATTCAAAATTATATTTTCAAAAATTTTACTGAGTGTTGGTAGTACAGAAATAGGTCTATAATTAGCGGGCTCCAATGTACTACCAGATTTAAATAAAGGTATTACTTTACTATACTTTTCCGTTTTTATATATTTTTCCGTTTTCGTATTTATTCTGAACCTCCTCTGTAAATTTGGCCGTATATTGCAAAATAGCCCTGTACATGATTATAAATGTTTATTAAACCATCTAATTCTATATATTGTACTTATTATTATGTGTTCTATTTCTACACTATCTCATTGCGCACCACCACATGTATTTTTATTTAATTTATCATTAACCACTTCCACAATGATATTAGATAATTACGACAGTGCAATACTTGTCAATCAATTTATGCGGGGTCCCTTGCACAAAGATACGCTTTTATTGGAATTAATTTATTGTTGAAATATAATTATGGAGTATGTTTTAGTCATTGAATACGAGTCACGGGGCGAGGTAACATGTCAAATTAAGGTAATTTTTACGTACCATTACGAAGAATTTTTTTTTTAAATTACGCTTAAACGGTTAATAACAAAGTTTTATGTTTATGATACGAGATATCTTCGTCACTTGTAAACTATTTATTATACTTTAGTTGTTCCATATAAATTCGGAATGAAAATTTTACTCCAAGAGCGAAAATAAGCTTGTGATATTATTAAGTCCACTCAATAGGGTCAATTAAACTTTTAATAAAAATCAGGGCTCGGAAACGTTATTAAAAATAACGTTTTTAAAACGTTTGGGACGGTTCCCTGTATAACATTTTGTTCGGATCAAAAACGAAATGAGAACGTAATGTGTAAACGTAAAAAACGGTTTATTCTGCAGGAAGCTAAATGAATGGCACTTGCCACGACAATTTTAAACCTATAAGGTATTTTGTTTCGTATTGCAGGACCAAAAACGGGAAAAAACGGTTGAAAATGGTTAAAACCGTTTTATTGAACAAGAACGATTTAAAATTTCGTTCTCTTCATAAACGTTTTATTATGATTCCGTTCGAACATAAACGAAACAAATAAGTTTTTAGGTATTTAAGGCGAAAACGTTTCGAAAAATATATCTACCGCTATCCGAGCCCTGTAAAAAATATAAGCAAAGTTCAAAAACACTTAAAAATCCTTGTAATCGATATAAAATACGTGTACCTACGTAATCAAATCAAAGATTAATTAAATGTGTGCTAGGATTCTATTAATGTTTACTTTATACATATTAAACGTAACGTAGTGTATTAAAACTTATATACTTAAACATAATTTCAATTTTAAAATCAACTATCGAACGTTTCTAAACAGGGCTTCCTACGAGTACTCCCGGTCCCGACGCATTCGAGTTTTTAATCAATTGAATTTCACCAAATTTTCCTTTTATGCCAACGCTGTAGGCGGTTACGCGAAGGTTATTCTTCTATAGTTTTCCGAAAGTACCTACCTATAGTGAATTATAATTTTAAAACATGTTATTACTTTTCGAATAATGGACTTCGCACTCGGATCCCCAAGATACAAGCAGTGCTTAATTTGGGGATCCCTGTGAATTATAATGAACTAAAATGAGGTGTTTACTTTACAAATAAATATTATTAAATATTTATTAATAAATATTATTAATAATATTATAAATATTATTAATTATTACTTTCTATTTCTACATTTGTCTCTGAAATTATTACAAAAATATATACTATACGTTTTCTTTCTAGTCTCGTATTAAAAAAAACACTAATAATACGTCCTGTTATTTTGCTATACTTATGTATGAATCATTGATGATGATTTTTCATCAACAGTATCGTAATTACTCTGAAAGTAGGAAATCCACTGTTTTAAACTAATATGTGGAAGAGCTATGCCGCAGTTATATTAATTGTATAGTTGTAACACGAATGGGTCGGCTCGACTGGGGAAGCATCACGCTCTCACGTATGGTGAATGTAGAGAACCGGAGACCCTTTTTACTGGAAAATAGGCATTCCATCTTAGTCCTCACGGGTGACAACGCATCTGCATTTTGATTTGCAAACGAGGATAGATGTAGATGTGTATGGGCCACAGCAAGACAGCAACCACTTACCATCAGGTGGACTGTGTGCTCGCTTGTCACCCCTATCCTATAAAAAAAGAATACTTGACACTGAGAATACTTGACTGAAAAAAACTTGTGCTTACTGCTTACTGTTCTACTTGAATGTGAAACTAATAATGACAGCGCCATTAATATATGATCGACGCTATAAGACGCGACTTAGTCTCCACACATATTTATATGAATAATGGTCAAATACTCAAACGCCACTCAATATTAAGATGCCGTTAAGTCTCGTGCTGTTTCTATCACTTTAAGTCAAACTGACTGTGACACCATAAGACAACGAAATCTTAAAATTGAGTAGGTATGTAGCGTTTGAGTATTTGGGCATAAGTCACCAAAAACAAAAAGTGAGCGCAGTAGGCGTTTACGTTAGTTCAAGACATTTGTCTCAAAATAATCTCTAATTTAGACCAAATGATAAAATTATTTTATATCTAATACCAAATGCATTTTATTTACAGGGCCTTCCTCTTACTCATTTGATCCGACTCGAAGGATATTTTAATAACCTGAATATTATGTGCAAAAGAATACAAGACGAAATATTTGAGGTAGACGTGGAAGGTGTCAAATTATTAAACGTTCTTGGTAGTTCTACTTACAGGTGAGAATAACGATTAATGCGAGTCGAGTACGAATATCATTCGAGTAACTTGTAACTCGAGTTGACTGTGAGACTGTGACTGAAGTATCCGAGTCACTCAAGTCAACTACTATTATTATTAAGCAATAAATCAGGGTAGAACCGGCCACGTAGGAATTCAGTTGTCAAATTAGGAGATTGTATATTAGGAGATTTCAACTTGCCGTTCATTTCTTGGAACCCAAACGGATATACAGCTTTGAAAAAAGGGCCTACTGAGGTACAAGAAGCGAGTATCCAGCTGATGGAAACACTAACATTTCACGGGTTAAGACAATTTAATACTTTAAAAAATCATGCTGGTAACACATTAGATCTTGCATTCTCTAATCTACCTCTGAATATCATCCCTGCGGCTGCGCCGCTACTCAGGGAGGACCACGCACATCCTTCTTTTTGCTTCATAGTTTTGGATTTAAACATTACTCCTCTACGGGAAACAGCTGCGCCGAGGCGAAATTTCAGGAGGGCTGATTATGAAAAAATTAATACATATCTTTTAGAACAGGACTGGAGGTCTCTTTTATGTACAGGCACTGTAGACGAAGCTACAAATACCTTTTATAACATACTGGATAGTTGATAGAAAACTATTACGAAATAGAGCAGTTGAAGTAAAATTCACATACAATCATATATTCTCTCATCTATTTCTTCTATATGTATTTTTGAGGCTACTAATATAAATATAAGTACTTAAGTTATTTTATTTAATATATATTATAATTAATTATTTGTATTATGTTTATATATTTAAACAATTAATATGTATATATACATAAGTAAATATATATGTATGTATATATATATATATATATATATATATATATATATATATATATATCTTATATGTTTATATATATATATATATATTTATATATATATATATATATATATATATATATATATATATATATATAAAGGTAATCTAATATATCATTCTACCTGACTATCTCTCCTGATCTGTAAACTTATGACCACCTTCATTACATTGAATTGCTTATAATTTTGCTTATAATTTATCTATTAGATTGTTCTTTTTCCTTTTCTTCTAACAACAATACACCTACCATCAAACAATATAAGGGAAACCTGTTATTGGCCATACTTTTAGTTTGTTACATTAATGTTAATATTTTCTATATACGCTGTTGGTTTTCTAAATAAATAAATAAATAAATAAATATTTAATATTCCAATTCCGATCATACAGTGAATCCTTTCATGTCATTATGATTTTCTGTTCTAATATGTCACAATGTAAATGCATGAACTTGTGACTCAATTGGATAAAAATAGGCGTAGGTATAGTCCGTTCACTAATATAGAGTCGGTACACCCGGAGCCGCACTTATTATTTTGCTTTTATTTTGTTATTTTTTATTGTGTTTGTTAAATTTTCTATTCTAAGAATAAAATAGAACCATTCAACCGACTTCAAAAGAGGAGATTCTCAATTCGTCGGAATCTTTTTTTTTATGTATGTTCACCGATTACTTGAAGACGCCAGAACCGATTTGAAAAATTCTTTCTTGCTTCCAATGACATACGTCCCAGGTGGTCCCATATAAATCGAGGTCATGATCACTGTCTGACCAGTAGATTTTGAGTTATGCTTAATAATTTACAAAATGTTTAATTTACCACTTGTTTTCTTATGTTTATTGTAATAAAATGCAAATACAAATAATAAACACAAGTAAGGTAGCAAAGAACCTTTCACTACGGCGCTTCGTTTTAAAATGCCAAATTCTCGAGATAGTAATTGAAGAACCCAACATATTTGACAGATGTCAAATGTGTTGGGTTCTTCAGTTACTATCACATAGAACAGCTGTAACTTCTTACCGAGAATTGGTCGAACGCAATTGGGCTTTGATTAAATTTGCCTGCAAAACGACAGAAATATTTCACATTGTTTTTTTTTTATAGGATCGAGTGACAAACGAGCACACAGTCCACCTGATGGTAAGTGGTTCCTGTGACCCATAGACATAGACATTTATCTTCGTTTGCGAATCAAAATGCAGATGCGTTGTCACTCGTGAGGACTAAGATGGAATGCCTCTTTTCCAGTAAAAAGGGTCTCCGGTTCTCTACACTCACCATACACAGCAGTGTTAAACTGCTATTTGACGCTGGTATTCTGTGAGAGCGTGGTCCTTCCCCGGTCGAGCCGACCCATTCGTGCTACAACTGTACTACTAATATAGCTGCAGCGTGGCTCTACCACGTAAATCAAAAAAAAGTGGTCAAATTGTCACTATACTGGATTATAATTTAAGTAGGTATTTAACCAAGTTTGATTACAGTTGACAAGTGTGATGAAGAGTACATGGAGTTTATTTGGCACCAGTGGTAAAGATGTTTCGGATGGTGAAGATATTACTGTTACTTAATTTATTTATTCTTTTACTTATTATAAGCCAGTGCTTAGCCACAATCCCACCTGGCGGTAAGTGGTGATGCAGCCTTAGATGGTAAATCGCACTGTCTTAGCGTAACAAAAGCCTATTCACTCTTGCCTTGAAGACGCCCAGATTGTATTCGGACGGAAAGATAGACACGGGCAAATTATTCCACTCCTTTGCTGTACGCATTACAAAAGACGCACACAACCACATTCCGTTCGAAGAAATGCAACATACCTACTTCAAAAAAAAACTGTTACGTTCATTCCTAAGATTATTCTAATGAATAAGATTCTTTGCTGTGTTTGATTTTTTTTTTCTAAAGATGATTAAGTTGTTAATGCGTTTTATTGGTTTATTATGATTTCCCATTTATAATCATTTAAAGTCTCAGTTACTTTATCGTAAGTTTTGCAAACATAAAAACAAATTAAACAAAACTAAATTATTGATTAATAATGAAATAAAATTAAAAGGTTGCTTATGTGACCAGATACTCGTAGAACTGAATAAAAGGCTATTAACCAACTTGTGTTCCTATAAAACTTATTATTAATTTATTATTTATTTATTAATGGGTATAATTAACATAATATTAATTTAGCGTAAATACATACTTAATTAAGTATATAAATTTAGATTAGTAATATAAAGATAATTATTTAAAAAACATCGTTTATTTCATCAATAAATCATTCGTAGTTACAAACGTAAGTACAAATATGTCACTACTGAGGAGCTGTGTCACTTCCGTGGAGAAGTGTTTTCATTTTTTTTTTTTGTGAAAATAGCTAGGCTTTTATTTGCTTCATAATGCAAGATAAGACCTTTCATTTGAGACTACTTTGAATCATATCAAAATAATTAAAAAAATAGAATTTAAGTCCGTTTTTTGAGAAAGGCCATTATGTGGTGTCGATTTACCGCCGTCACCATTTATCCTGATGGCCGGTCGAACTCTGCCAAGCGATTTAACCATAGATAAATATATATGTAGCAAGCTAAGGATTTAACGCGTGCGATCACAATGTTCGTGGTATGTTTTCTCTGTATTTGTTTTCTCAAACTCATTTAAGCGCGATGAAATTAACTTTGATAATTGATTTAAATTGTGTAATAATGCAAAGGAAACGGGCATCGAACGATTAAGTACGAATCGTATTTTTTGTTCTCATATTGTATACAAAATGCGCCTCACTCTTATATCTAATAATAATACTATAGATAGAGTTTATTGTTTCTATGCAGATTTCTCATAAGATAAAATTTGTGAATATTATTCTATTTTTTTTAACATAATTATTTCAAGATTACTTTATGTTTTATGAGCATAAAGTGAAAATAAATGAATAAGTATAAGTATGATTATGAAATAAAAAAAATTAAGCTTTCAATATGTTCTGGTATCGAATGCAGGAAATTCAATAAAAGAAATCTAAAAATAGTAAAACGTGGCAACTTTACACAACCCTTGGCAACATTACCTTACCGTTATATTTGAATTAAAGTAAATTATTTCAAAAATCTCTTTATAAACTAACTTGGTATATAATGGTAGTATTTTTTCATAGTTTAGAGTAACATCTTTTATATTTTTCCAACTGGTAACATTGATAGTTATGTCAATATAGCTTTCCAAAGTGCGGTGCTGTGAAAACGTGCTTAAAACTTTTTGGTAAAATTGCACTCACAGAGCCTAAACTTTTTATCAATGTAAGTGATATTTTGATATTGCATGTAAGAAACGGTTAGGATTACAGTTGTTATTATCAGCTATTACTATTTACTCATCTTATTGAAATATCAGCATAGGTAATGTTACTTCAAGTTAGGTAAAGTTGCCACTGACTGTTTCGTGGCAACTATACCTTCAGTTAGCCCTATTACACGGGTGAAATGATGACGTTGGTTGTTGAGATTGTGAAAACAAAAAAAATGTCTTCACACGAAGCTGAAAGAAGTTTTGGCATACCCAGGAGAACCAATGAAAAAAAAATATACATTCGGATAAACCTGGGCCACCTTTTAGACTGACATCAGATGAAAAAATGAATTTTGTCAAAGCTATAGTTGTGGCCTCTGAATATGGCGGGGCACCACCGCTAACACAACTAGACCTAAGACTGCTAGTTTATGAGTATTTAAAAAAAACAATAGAAGCGATACCTTCGATGACAAATTACCCGGAGAATGGTGGGTAAAGAACTTTATTGAACGCCATCGTGACAAACTTAGTTTGAGAGCAGTCCAGAACATCAAAAGGACAAGAGCCGAAAAAACATTGAGTGAATTCGAACAGTATTTCCATAACCTGGAATCTGTATTGAAAAACGTATCTCCAACACACGTTGTGAATTATGACGAAACAAATTTTAGTGACGACCCCGGCTTAGTTAAATGTATTTTCCGTCGTGGCAGTGTTCCAAAGGCTGTATATCAGTTATGTTTGCGACTACAGCAGACGGAGAAGTAATGCCTCCGTATGTTGTTTATAAGGCAGAGAGCTTGCGCTAACAGTGGGTTGAAGGAGGACCCGAGAATGCTCGATCCAACAGAACCAAAAATGGTTGGTTTGACTCAATAACATTTTATGACTGGTTCAATGTAATAACTGTGTCATGGGCACGCAATTTAGTAGGGGTCCAAAGGTCGTAATTGGCGATAACCTTTGCAGCCATATAAATATAGATGTGATAAAATTACTTTACTAAGCCGCTGGATGTGGCTTTCTTCGGGCCTTTGAAAAAGGTATGCCGTAAAATTTTAACCTCATATAAATATGAAAATCCAAAGCAAGTGGGGCTTAATAAATCCCAGTTTCCGCTTCTCCTTGCAAAAGTCATGCATGAAGTACATATGCATAAAAAAGAAAACGTGATAAAAGGATTCAAAGCAACAAGTATAGTAACGTTCAATCCTCAAAAAGTATACAAAATAAATTCCTAAAGGCCTTCCGGATGAGCCAAATTTTACTGTGGACCGTACGTTACTGGAATATTTAAAGGAAATGGGAAACCAAATGAAATGAAAAAAAGGGAGGAACAAAAAACTGAATATCAAATCAGGTAAATCTGTCACAACATTAGCTTTTGGCCAAAATGATAATAAAAAACACAAGAGATTAAAAAAAGTTTAAGAAATGTAGCACTGCAAATCAAAGATGAAAATTTTAACGAGAATAAAACAAATGGAATTGCAAGGATTGAGGATTGCTATGGGAAAACATCCAAAATTAATGTAAATATTTGTGGGACCTTGAGCGATGATGAAATAAATAATAAAGATCCAGTATCAGAACAAAAATCCATTTTACAACGCAAGCTTTCCCCAAAAGAAATTTGTAGCAAAAAATAAAAATACAACAAAAAGATCCAAAAGAATTGCAAGCGCATCAACTACTACGGAAGATATCGAATGGAGTGAACACATCGATACTGATATTGAATGGATAGAGTTTACAGATTTTGAAGAAGATGAAAGTGAGATTCAAGGCGATGTCAAAAAGAGAGTTGACATGATTGAAGAAAAAATATTTAAGGAAATAGCAAGAATGGACAGAGAGTCAAAAGAACTGAGTGATGATCAATCGTTAAAGGATATTCGAAAGAAAATGTAAATGTGACTCAAGTGAAAATGATATTGAAGAATTGTCCAAAAAGACTGATAACAAAGTATTAGTTCATAAACCTGAACCAGAACAAGAAAATACCAAAAACACTGCCAAAGAAACGTTGAAATTTAAAAAACAGTTTTCAAATAGAAACAATAACAGCGAAATGATCAATATGTTTAATAAAAAGGAAGACATATTAAATGAAACTGAGACAAAGGAGAAACAGAAAGACATGAAAAATAAGACTGACACTAGGGAGAAAAGAAAACAAGGCATACAAAATAAGACTAAAACAAAGGAGAAAAATCAGGAAGGTATGAGAAAAGAGATTGAGATAGAGAGATGGGAAGATGCGAAAAATAAACAGGAATATATATGTAATGGCAGACTGAGTTAAGAGTAAAAAATATAGAATATTCTCTAAAGGAAGAAGATAATTTGGACGAAGAACAGATGAATATTCATCAGGAACGGGCCGAGAAAAAAGAAATCCGATGGAATGAAGGAGACAAAATTTTGAGCAGATATTATTCACGTAAATGGAAATATTATGTTAGTATTATCAAAAATATCAATAGATATGAAAATATATATTCAGTTACATACCATAAACAAATACGCAGCAAGGATCATATTAAGTTTGTTATTCCTAAGAGGTCGGATGAAGATAAATATCTGCCTGAAAATGCTACAGTAAAATCTATAGAACTACTGCCAATATCAGAATACCCTGACGAGTATGTTCTTATGAATGACGAAGACAACATTTATTTTGATTAAATTAAACTTACTCTCGTCTTGTAACCTGTGCCATTTTATGTTATTTGTATTTTATTTTATAGATATTTCGATTGTAAAATGAAAACCTGAGTACAAAATATTTTAAATTTGCATTTTAAAATTTTAAGGTTAATTGATTATAATATTTATAATTAAGTATAAAAACTAAACCTAAGAATATTTTTTGTTTAAAAATATAAACCCGTTAAACAAAATGTGACTTGTTTTTGTTTTTTGACAACCCTGTACGGCAAAAGATATTTGTGTGTAAATTGCCTGAATACCTTGGCAACTTTACCTGATGCCAGTGTGGACTTTGTTCTTAACTTCTTTCCTTCTACTCATCTTTTCGTTATAAAATTGTCATTATAATTTAGGTCATCTTTACCAATTTTATTATTCTAAACGCATTGTATAATGTATTATGAAATACTGTGCGTAGGTAATATTGCCACATATGTGTTAATTTTACCCATATCCTTTATTACTCTCCACTTTTTTAATTATTCGTTTTTATAAAATGCCAAATGCAGAAAACGTTGGCCAAATGTATAATAAGTATATACAACAAATTTTACGTTTCTGCACCCAATAAATAAAGAAATAATTAGATTTTTCTCAAAAAATATGGTGAAGTTGCCATGTTTTACGATAGTTAATTAAATATTTCAAATGTATTTTTCCTTAGTTACAGACTAATAAGCCAATCTATGGTTATCGAAGAAAGCACAATTGGCGGAAGAAATGCTAAAATTCAAAAAACTATTTGGACCATGGGAAAATAATAATTAATTAAATGTATAATTTATTTCTTTAAAATAAAAATGAAATGTATATAAACCATTTTTCTTTTTCAATTTTCTAATTTTAACTCGCTTTGACAATCACTTGGTACACGATCAGTAAATAACTCTGGAATCTGAAAAGCAAAAATTACAAAGATTAATCCTATCATTAATAGACTTTTAGAAGTTTGTCACCCACACCTACATGTATCGAATATCTTACAAGATTAGTGTTATAAGGATTCAGAACATTAAACATGATCTTTGTTTTGTCTATGTTCATCTTAAGACCTATCCGTTGGGAAACACTATTGAGGTCATTGAACATAGTGCTTAGGTCCTCCAGCGATTCTGCCATAAAAACTATATCGTCGGTAAATCAAAGGTGAGTGATGTACTGATGTGATACCGTATCCTTTCCAGTCCGGAAGCTTGAAAACGGCTTCCAATGCAGCGGTGAAGAGTTTCAGGGATATGACGTCACCCTGTCTTACAGCTCTGCAATTGGACAGGTTTCGTTCTCTTGTTCTATACTCGGATAGCCATCGTAGCCCTATTGTACAAGCACTTCAACACTTCGATATACCGATAGTCAACTTGGCACCGCTGAAGGGACTGCAGCACCGCCCAAATTTCGACGGAATCAAAGGCTTTCTCATAGTCCACATATGCCAGACACAGTGGCAAGTTGGACTCCTCGGACTTCTAGACAATTTGCCAAAGGGTATGTATGTGGTATATGGTGCTAAAGCCTTTTCGGTAACCGGCTTGTTCAAGAGGCTGGAAGTCGTCAAGTATGCGCGCGAGACGATTCGTAATAACTCTCGAAAACAGCACGTAGACGCGGCTCAGAAGGGAAATCGGTCTGTAGTTCTTCAAGAGAGCGTTGTCGCCTTTCTTGAAGAACAAGACCACCGCACTTCTGCTCCACGCCTCCGGTGTAATGCCACCATGGAGGACAGAATTAAAGAGCTTCTGAAGGACTTCAAGTATCGGTTTTCCACCCGCTATCGGAAGCTCCGCTGTAATTCCATCCTCGCCTGGGGCCTTGCCGTTTTTAAGGTGCTGGAGAGCCATTCTAATCTCGCTCAGACTGACGTCCGGGATATCATCCGAATAGTGTGGGATAAGACTCGCTCGTGGATCATTACTCACACTTGCGTGTGGCTCCAAGGATGATGTGTACAGCTGCCCATAGGACCTCTCAGTCTCACTCAAAATCTCAGGTGTCCTGGAAATGACGCTGCCACACTCGGTCTTCAGCTTCGATAGTTGGCTCTTTCTGGCAGACAGATCTCTAGCAAAACTTCGGAGCCCCGGTTTCGCTCGATCGCTTCTTCAATACGAGCAGTATTAAAGTTGCGTAAGTCCCGCCGCAAGCATTTAGAGATCTGTCTGTTCAGTTGCCTGTATGCTGTCAAATCTACTGAAGACTGTAGCTTCATATCCTGTCTAACAGCCATGAGATTAAGAGTGTGATCGGAGAGTTTTTGTGTTCTTCTGCGGCGGGTCTTGCAAAACTTAGCTCCGACGACATGGACAGTTACCACGAGCTTGTCATTCATATCGCCCACTGCATTGCAATCTTCTAGGCACTGAAAACGGTTTCGTAGCTCGAGCTGAAAGGTTTCGGAACTTTGGATCAGAGCATGAGAGGGACGAAGCGTTGACTTCATAAGACGTGACCTCTCCAACTTAACGTTTAGGTTCAGTGTGCCTCTCACTATTCGGTGATCGCTGCCGGTTTTCACCCTCACGATCACTGAGACATCACTGAACAGTTGTCGTTAATAATTACGTACATTAAATAAATTAATAATTATTTAATATATTTTTTAAATGCGGTAGCTGCAACTAAATATATACAAATTAACGTTCCTTTTGAGTAGTTCCCACAATCCCTCGGATCAGATCACAGGTTAATCGTGACATATTGCAGAGTATGGATGCGTGTAAGGAGCGGCTCAAATCTTGCAAGACCGATATCACTGCGACCAATATGATTATATTTTGTAATCGGTGTCTTATCTATAATTCGCTGCTAAGCCTTACTGCATTCTTATATGTACACTTAAACACAGTAAAGATAGAAAACATTATAATCAATTCCAATGCTACTTCTGAACAACTACTCAGGTCTATGGCACACTAAGAATAAACCAATATTTGAGATGTTAATTTAATTTATGTACCTAATTAATAGGTTTTTTTTTTAAATTTAAATAAGAAAATCTGTTTTTATAAGATATACATTTTTACTAAGGAGTTATTGTTTTATGTAATTATAGTTTTTTTTTTTTTTGCTTACCTGAGGCGTGTAAGTTTCAACTCTGTCAAGTAATGAATCGGAATAACCAGGTGTATAAAACCTACAAATAGAAATAACACTAAATTGTAGAAAGAAAAGAAAATAAATGATCCAAGTGAATATTTAAAACAAGTGAAAATTCGTTACCTTACGATTTCTTCAGGAAAGCAACTATTTATTATATTGATATATTCTTTAAGAGATGTGCCTGGGACTGTATCTATTTCTTGTATTCTTTTTAATGCTCCAGTCGATACAAATAGTCTACGAGCTCTTGCATCATTTGGTAATATCTGAAAAAAGTAATAGATATTATATGATATGCCATGTGACCGCGCTCACGCCACAATAGCACAAAATGGACCTGCCAACCACTAAAGCCTATATCACTTTATCAAAGTTCCCGAACATCTCTACTTAAAATTATGAAAGCTGAGACCTATACGGTATTTATGTACTGTTTACTATCACTTTCATATTAATATTGTGAGCCGCCAATATTTGTAGTTTGTTGTGAATTGTTAACTAATACAAACTAATAAAACTTTGACCATAGACTATAACTTATATATTTTAATAAGAAACTCTGGTAAGAGCGGTAAGTGTAAAAATAAATCAGTCGGTTAGCCATACAGCGCCACTCCATAATAGAGCAGACGCCAGAAAAATAACTATATAAAGAACTAACAGCGAGGTTGTCGACGAACTAGTTAGCATAGTTCACCTAAAGGAGCGCTCTTCCCACCTAGTACGTTCGCGAACTACCCAAGACTACTTAAAAAATAGACTTACGTCTGTGAGAACAAGCTCCGTAATACGACACGAAACATTGGCCTCTCCCTGACGACTGACACCGACGACCCCGCTTGCTCTACATAGTATATTATCTATGACCCCACTGATGGCCAAAACTGATTAATTCAATTGGAAAGTTCTTCTTTTATTGAAACTTGTTTCTAAACTTATTTTTTAAAATAATATTAGAGTATATTATTTTTTAAGTAATTTTTTTATCCCATTGCTTTATAAAAAGAATCAAGGATTATTAAGTAAAAGGTACGTTTTAATTACAGCTAAAACAAATTGAGACGAAAAGCTTTTAATGTATTCGATATTTTTCAAGTTCTTATTCATATGTGAAAAAAAAGCTAATGTTTTATCGCTTTAATTCATTTTGTGTAACGATAACGATAAGCTCCGTTTTATGTTAGAAAAAACTATTACTAAGTTTTAAAACAAACATTGGGTCATTTGGCTAGTACAGGCTTAAAACATGGCACTTCTTCTTCTTACTTTTTGGCTTCAAAAACTAAGGTCATAAAAATATTGCCAATATTATGGCAACGAGAGCTTAGCCAAATCAAGAATTAAAAACAGGAAATCATATTGTTCTTCTAAATCTACAAAAGTGTTCTTTGATTTATTACTTTTTTTTTCAACATAGCCTACGATTTTTTATTAAGATTTTTGGCTTGGATGCTTGACTTTTAAGCCATGTCTTCATTTATCTCAGTATATAATGATAATAATCCTTTAAAGTACATTGATTCACAATATATAATATACATTTACATATATACTTTTACATATCAAAATCTACTTTAAACAATAATACAGGAGCAGTAATCCGCCGCCGATCAAGTTCCGTACCGACAATTTTCTTACAATTATTTTTTATGACTCAATGTCATTTAATGCAATAAGAAAGTTATGATAGTCTTCGATTGGCCTTTCACGATGAAGCCCCATCTCGTGCCACTGTTTACAACTGGTTTAATGAGTTTAAACGTGGTCGACCTAATCTCATCGATGATCTGCGTGAGGGACGGCCTTCTACGGCGACGACTGAAGATAACATCAGTGTTGTGTGGCGTATGATAGAGACTGAGAAAAGAGTGACTTATCAGCACATTCCGACTAAGTTAGGCATCGGTATGAGTCAAGTGCACAAAATCCTCCATGAATATTTAGCGGTCAGGAAGCTTTGTGCCCGGTGGATACCGCATAATTTGACAGAGGCACAAAAACTTCGTCGTGTTGATTGGTGTCGTGAAATGGTTCAAAGATTTAACGGAGGTGACTCAAATGCTGTGTTTGACATACTTACGGGTGACGAAAGCTGGACTAAGAGACAGTCTGCTGTCTGGGTGTTTCCTTCCGAGGAGTTGCCAACTAAAGTGAAGAGAAGTTGAAGCGTGGGAAAAAAGATTGTGGCCTCGTTCTTCGGAAGGACAGGTCATTACGCAACAATTGTTTTAGAAGATCAAAAAACAGTTACTGCAGAGTGGGACACTAATAATTGCTTGCCACTTGTCTTGGAAAAAGTTCGGGAGAAACGACCTCGCAGTGGGATCCTCCTTCACCACGACAACGCCTCGTCACACACCGCCAAGCAAACAATCCACTACTTGGCAACGTCAGACGTGGAATTACTGGGTCACCCGCCCTATAGCCCTGATCTCGGACCTTGCGATTTTTATTTATTTCTGAAAATAAAAGAAAAACTTCTAGGAAATCGTTTTATGGACGCCAAGGAAGCAGTGGCTGCGTTTCAAAATTCCATCGAAGAGACTCCTAAGGACGACTGGGCAAAGTGCTTTTCTCAGTGGTTCCATCGGATGCCGCGATGTATTAATGTAAATGGACACTATTTTAAAAAGATATAATAAAACTAACAATTTGCTAGTTTGTTTAGTTTTTAATTTTCTTAGAACTTTCAGTGTCATGTGAGAGAGAGAGTTCAGAGTGGGTTGAAAAGAATAAATAAAATAGGTTAAAATTATAATTTGGTTCTGTTTATTCAACCGCCTTGTTACAGATATGCAACCGAAAAATATTTACGACATTTATTATTGGATTTTTTATTGTTCTTTTTTAATTTAATGATATAATGAATTCTCATCCTTACATATAATTCAATTAAAAATCGTGATGAAAGCAATCACGTGGTTATTAGAATTCAATTTTACTTAAAGCGTCATACAATCTTTCCCAATATTTCAAAATAATATCGAGTAATATCATGTTGCTGGGTGAACACCAAAAACGTGCAACTGATTCCGTGGACGTGACACTCCTAAGCGAGCGTACTGGTCATAGATAAATAAATATGTAGCAAGCTAGTACCGGTACGCAAGCGAAGCCGACTACCACAGACGTCGCTTACTCCGCTCTTCTTGTCTTTTTCATACCGCGCCCCATCGTTGCTCCGTCTAATTGCCGACGCCGAGTTGACTCACTATTTGTATTTATTACACATCATATTATGATTGTGGTTAGGTCACAGATAAAAGCTGTTGTTCTTACGTTCTTACCAACTTACCATAGACAATAATATATATGTCATTGACTTTGTGACAGTGACAGATGTATAACCTTATCCTTATTGACTTATTGTAGTAATGTCATAACAAAAACAACAAGCCCTTTTAACCCTTAGCCTTAGCCTTTTTCAGTTTCAATTACATTTTAAACTTTAAATATTGTTTTAATTAGATTATTTAACATTGCAATATATTATATTATGCACAATGGCAGGTAGAGGTAGAGGACGGGGCGGTGGATTATCATTTACTCAAGAACAACTTCAAGCTCTTGGCATTGCACGAGGAGAAAATACGGCAACAACACTCGCTCCGCCACCATTATTTCCAAAGCTTGAAGCGAAACCTTTGCCTCTGAGTTGTGATGCTGCGACGGACTATATGCTTATTGTTAAGGATCAATTTATTGAATATTTACATGAAACGCCTGCGTATGTTAAACCAAACATGCGGACAGACGGTATAGAACGATATTCTGATAAGTACAAACAATTAGCGCTTGATGCGAAGCAAGGAAAAGTGCTGGATTGTGTGTGGGTAAACATGCCAGCAGAATTAAGACCGCAAGCAAGCAAACTTCGAATGACTTCTCGAAAACGCAAGCTTGATGACGCAACTGTTATAAATAAAAAACTTCAAACTCTTGAAAATAAAGAAACCTTAGATGAAAATGCAGAAGTAGAGGCAGAAAGCAAGGATGAGGATACTGTCAAAAAAGAAAATGATGATGATGAAGAAATAGAAGATGAAGAAGAACAAGAGTATGAAATTGATGAAGGTACAGATTATGCAAACAATTACTTTGACAATGGTGAAGACTATGATGAAGAAGATGACAATCTTGATGATGGACCTGTTTATTAGCCTACACATTTGAAAATTAAACATAGAAAAAAATAGTCCTAGTTTAATTTAGTTTCTGACTGGCTATTTTTTGCTACTTCATGTCTATATTTTATAACTCAAAAAAGTTCTGTTAACCCCTAATGTGGTGAAGACCTCGGGAAGAGATTTAGCTCTGTAAGTGGGGACATCCAAACATACCTGAAGCATAAAAGCTGCTATTTCTTATTAGCCCCTCATGCAAGCTCTACTATAAGCCCTAATTGTACAATTAGTCTCAGGTTTTAACTAGAATCTCTTTGAAATAAAAGAAGATCCATGGAATATATACAAACTAAAATGTAAAGTATGGAATATCACAGCAAATGTCAAATTTCAATGCCATAGCTAAGGGATTTCTTTCATGAAAAAGACTTCTTAAACTATAGATATCACCTGAGAGGATAAATAAACCATGTTTTGTAACAAGATGAGCATAGATCATGAAAATTATTGCAAGTTCTTCCCAAGACAGATATTTTTTCCAAACCAGTGGTAAAAGTAAAATCATGACTCAATAAGAATTACTTGTAATCTATATTGAATAAAAATTATTCTATTGTTTTTTATTCTAAACACATTTTTTTGTACAAATAATGATACTAAAGCCAAAAAATTGTCCTTTTACACTGCTGTTATATTTTTAAATTCTAATTTTTTTTTCAAAATTTCCTTTATCAGTCACTTTTTTCATTTAACAAAACATAACATCCAACATTTACATCGTTATGTGGTAGAGCCATGCTGGAGCTATATTAGTGGTATAGTTGTAGCACAAATGGGTCGGCTCGACTGGGAAAGGACCAGGCTCCCATAGAATACCAGTGTAAAATAGCAGCTGGATGCTGCTGTGTTCCGTATGGTAAATGTTGCGAACCGGAGGCCCTTTTTACTGGAAACGAGGCATTCTATCTTAGTCCTCACGGGTGACAATGCATCTGCATTTTGGTTCGTAATAGAGGATAGATGTAGATGTCTATGGGCCACAGCAACCACTTATCCTATAAAAAAAATAACTGGACATGTCTCTTCTAATGTAGGAAGGTTTTGTTAATATGGCATCAATAGATTAGAGATGTTATTGTGCTAAAACTGCTCCTGTCACTAATCTGGTTATTTCACACCAAGCATAATATATGAGATGATTTAGCATCATATATTAGGGAGCATTGTCTTTTAAACCTTTCGTTACCTAAGAGGTGGCTATGAAAGGTCATCAATTTCACTACTAGCACTACATTTTATTAAAATCAATATCAATATGCATACCTTTGCATATTGTGCCAGTACATATTTCAAGACACACGCAGGGGCTGCATGTAAAAGTGGCTCAAGTGCAGGTCTGTGCAGACAGCATTGTAGTGACTGCTTCAAGCAACACAATGCTCTAGCTTTTATTTCTTCAGATGATTTTGGATTGGTGTATAACTAGAACAATAAAAATATTATTATATATTGGCTTAATAATTTTTCTTCATATTGACTGTATTGACTATATAAAATATAAATATCCACCAATGCATTTTCTGTCTATGTAATCTTTTAATTTAATATTAATTTAAATTTTATAATTCAGCTTTTATAAATTTCCGGAAGTCAGAACTATTTGAATTTTTATAGATATTAATAAAATTCACCATGTAGTGCTGCTAGTGTAGGAATATTCATTACCACACATCATATTGTGGGAGTCGTAAAAGGCGATAGAAGGATACAAACCAGGAGATGGGCAGCAATGTCTTCCCAATAACAACTAAAAAACAAAACTGCAGCTGCCAACTCGATTGCCAACCGTGGCAACTATGGCAAATATCCCTTCTTATGGGGCAATCTAAGAGGAGGCCTTTGTTCAGCAGTTGACATCTACATAGGCTGTGATGAATGATTAGAAAAATTGGCTTGAACTGATTGACTAATGTCGAAAAATCAAATGTTGAAATCCAAAAATATAGGACCTAATTATATTTTGATTAATAAATTAGTTGAGTCTAAAGTTTATGCTTATAACCTGCAATAATCTTGGAAAAGCGTTAGCAACAGCTACTGCTAAACTATGTTGAGGGGAATGTTTAGCAATGTGACCCAAAGTCCAAGCGGCCGCACATATCTCAGCTTCTTCTGCCTCGTTATTCTGGAGGATCTCCACTAAAGGTGGAACTGCCTGAATAAATAAAATTATTTTGGTATGATAATGGGCGGTTTTTCATTTACCGGCATGGCGCCGGTGCCGGCTATAATAAAAGCATAAATGTATTTTAAAATGTATGAAATATATGGCTTGTGTTTCCACTGCGTAGGTGCGTGTGCGCGGGCCGAAGTAGATGGGTCGCGTTGAGATTGAGACTGAAATGTCTCCTCGTTCATGCGGAATTAGTAGAAATATTATTTGACATCCATTTTCAACTTTTAAAATAGGGTATAATATGTTCCTTCTACGTATTTTACCTTTAAGATTGGATGAATCCAAAATTTTACTTCTTTGCGTTGATTATATTTTCGCCTTAAATGTAAAAGATATTATTACAAACAAATATGAACACTTGACGAGACCATTTTTACGAGTTGTAGAACTGAAGTCTGTTTTAGTACTGTACTGTCCAAAAACCGAGCGTAGACCGGCACCGGCAGTGGAAAAACGAAGCCCCGACACCCTGCCGGTGAATGTAAAACCGCCCATTGTAGCGTTAATTTTTATAAAATAGAAATAATCTTCAGAGGTAAAGTTGTAGTCAGGTAGCTGTAATATTTGTGGAAATAAAAGTAGTTCAGAAAGACTGGTTAATAGAAATTAATAAGGAAATATTAAACCACGGCGAAAACTTTTAAACATTTTCGGAAGCGATTAACTGCACAAGAAATATAGTATAGGTACTGATAGGTCCTCTGAACACTGGTAAGACTTCTAATCTTTTTTACAGCATATGCTGCGGAGCTAAATCTGCTTGCTAATTTTGATATATGGGGGCTCCATTGAAGCTTCGCGTCTAGTGTTATTCCAAGAAAAATGGTGGTATCTACAAGACTCAGTTTCTCCCCATTTAAAATTACATTAGTATTTAATTGTTTGACATTTGGAGTCATAAATCAAAGTGGCAGTGGCAGCTTATTGATGCCCTTCTTGAAGAAACAAATTCTTCAAAGGTACTGCCTCTCAGATATTGAATTTCTTTCCCGCCAAATAGTTATCCAAATTCTGGTAAATGTTGAAGTCTGTAGGCGCAAGGTCTGGTGAGTACGATGGATGATGGAGAGCTTCCAACCCCTGCTTTTGTAACTTGGAGACCGTCTGTTGTGCAGTATGATGTCATGCATTATCGTGCAGGAGTAGCGGGGACGAGCGATTGACCAAAGCTGGTGAAGACACACATCACATCATCTTCTTCACACACTCATCAGCTTCACATCATGATTGTGTTCAGTTCTTCACAGTACACATCTGCGGTAATGCTCATCCCGTTTGGTAAGAAGCTGTGATAAATGACACCGACGCTAGACCACCAAATAGTGACCATCACTTTTCTAGGGGTAAATTTTCGTTTGGGGCATTGTTTAGAAGCAGAACCATGCGGTTCAAAATTCCTTCGTTTGTCTGCCTGTTGAGCAGTGTAAGGCACGTCTCGCGTACTTTGCGTTGACGATCATTGAGTTCGTGAGGCACCTATTAGTCAAGCTTCTTTACCTTTCCAATTTGACGCAAATGACTAGTAATGTTTTGGTGCTAACGTCGAAAGCTGCTGCTAATTCAGCCGTAGATTGAGTATCATCAGCTTTCACAATCGCCTTTAATTCGTCATTGTCGATCAAAGTTTTCGGACGACCACAGGATTAATTTTTCAGGTCGAAATTTCCAGAACGGACGCGGCCAAACCAATAACAAGTGGTGCGTTCGTTAGTAGTATTCACTCCGTAAAACGTCGTTGATGTTGCGTTCCGCTTGTGTTGCGTTGCTTCCACGACAGTACTCATATTCCATAATTACTCGAATTTTTAATGTCTCCGAGATGAAGAAAAATATTCAAATGCCATGAATTCTTAGCCAAACAAAATTTATTTTGATTTGAAATTGCAAGTACTGCAGAACGGCTATTTCATAGGTAAACCTATTTATTAGATTCATATAAACCTATAGAATAAAGCAGTTAGTATTTTTAAAATCACTACCAAAAATAGTGAAAAAGTAAGTAACGCAATAAATCGAAATAATATATCCTCTTAACTGTTCAAGTATGTGTGTACCAATCACATACTGTGGGTTCAAAGTTCGCATTTTTACGCAAACAATAAGTACGTAAAAAAATTCCGTAAAAATGTGAACTTATTCTCATAAACGCTTACTGCGATTCCTGCATAAGAAAATAATGAACCTTTGATTCGATAACAGCCATGGCAAGTTGATCTGATTGTCCTGCAATAAAGCCAAGCGCCATGAAAGCTGGCACGCGCGAACCTCCGGTACTTTCAGCCAACAGCTCTACGAGTGGACCACAACCTCCCGTGTTAACTACTAATTGCGCCAACTACGAAACAATCATGATATAAATATGAAAAACTGTACCATTATTTTTTGTTAAAATAATGTAAGAAACAATTGGTGAATAACAATAATAATATTGCCATTTTAGGAGTTAGAGCGTATTTATCACTTATGGGTACGCCTAGGAGTGATGGTGGTGTAAAATATTCTTTACCACATTTCGACCCGTAGGTAGTAAAAACTGGAAGGAGGAAGGTGGACTATGGGATATACTAAAAGAAATTTATGGCATCCGAATAATGGAGGTATAACGGAACTGGAGGTACTGTGATTGTCAATCCGGATCATCCGTAACCCGTAAATCATCCGTACAAAGAGGCCCATGTCCACCAGTGAACTTTCATGGGTTCATAAAGAGAAAAGTACATCTAAGTTGTTTATTGCTAATATATAGGAAGATAAGCATTCATTATTGTATTGCGGTTTGAAGCATATAAAAACCAGTATAATTATAGCTTGTTAGAAGTTCAATGATAGTCTTCGGTGGTGACAAAACGTAGGCTTCTTTCTTAGGTGTGTCTGATTTAGTTACAGGTGTCTGATAAAGGCTGCACGTATTTACCATCACATAGACTATCATCACTTGTCACTCAATTGTAAACCACCAGTGACCCCTTCATCGGTTATACTGTACCTACCTCGTCAACAAGTTTTATTTGTTCAAGTAAAGGTGATAAAAGAACACAGAGTTCTGATGGAAACTAGATCACATTGACTCATAGACACCTAAATTTGTCATCTACTAGGAATCAAAGATGCAGATTCGTTGTCACCTCTTAGAACTAAAAGGAATGTCCCGTTACCAGTTAAAAGACATTCCGGTTATTCTACACTCGCCATACGGACCACAGCAGCATTGTGCTAGTATTTTGTGAGAGCGTGGTCTTGGCCACTTGCAACGAGGCTCTATCACATTAACAGGTAGGAGAAAAATTAAGTAAGGTAAAGAAACTTACAATCCACCTGATGATGAGAATACTGCAGCCCATGGGCACCTGGGACTTACTTAAAAAGTTAACAGGTGTGACGTCATTTCTAAGGATTAAAATGGTAATACTCAGTCTATAAATAGATAACAAGTTTTTTTGGAACGAAGTTCCTTATCGGACGGTTTGGCGGATGGGAGCTAGGCGACAAAAAGTGTAAGAGTTTTTCATCACTACCCCTTGTGTCATAGTGTATTTTATTTTAAATGACGCTTCATTTTAATAAACGCTAGTAATACATTATTTATTTGTATTTGTTAATCAATAATATAATACGTTTATCAATAATAAGGAACTTCGTTCCAACCGAGTGTTCCACGATACTCACGCATAGAATAAGGGTGATAAACGAGTTCACAGTCCACTACATGGATGCTGTAGCCTATAGACATCTACATCTAGCCTCGATTAAGAATCAAAATGCAAATGCTACCCTTGAGGACTAAAATGGAACGCCTCGTTTCCAGGAAAAAAGATTCTCCGTTTCTCTACACTCACCATGCGAAGCACAGTAGCATTTAGCTGCTATTTTACGCGGGTATTTTGTGAGAGCGTGGTCCTTCCCCGGTCGAGCCGACCCATTCGTGCTACAACCATAATATACCTGCAGTATGGTTCTACCACGTAAAAGTCTCCGTCTGGGTGGTACCAAACTAGATGGACTCCCAAGCAGAAAAGGAGTCCTACCTACTAGTAAAAGTAGTAGAATTAGCTAACTTCAATGGAGTGTTTAACGATGTCCCTGAGCAGGCACGCGGCGGCGCGGCGCACGGGCGGCGCGTGGTGCGCCGCGTGCAGCAGCGCCGGCGGCAGCGCGCCGCCCGCCACCACGGCCTCCGCCAGCTCCGCCCGCCCGCCAGCAACCGCGCTCAGTGCACACAGCACGCTACGCTGTTTACATAACCAAGTACTTCCTGGGTTAACACGTCTAATCTAAACGTAATGTCTACGCTAAAATAGGCCGATGAGTAGGTACAATGAATTCCTTGTAAAGTTTGCGGGAAAAGATACGTGACATTTCAGGGCGCCTTTTAATTCTGTTTAGCATATTTGGTGTTAGCTCAATAGTCCAGCTCTGTATTATAAAAAGAGGTCAACCTCGGAATGAGAGATAAGCTGAATTTTCGTATGTACCTTCACTTTGGCGTTCTAAAAGTTGTCTCAAAAGTATTGTTACGAGCTTAGGGTTCGAGACAATTAAAAACTGCCGAGTGAATTAGCAAAATTGACGCTTTAATTACAAAACACTAATTACAACTTAAAACCACACTAATAAAAACACAATTGTACTACTGATCACTTTAGTTCGCAGTTGTATCGCTTCTAGGTATTCGCTTGTATCGCCATCTCAACACTGACCCCGGTCGCGGTCTATACCGCCCTTATATAGGGCTTCAGATAGTTTCAGAATCATCTACTGTAGAAACATCTAGAATGTTCGACTACATACCGGTCCTGATTGACTAGGTGTCGATAGTTCTAGAAAGTTCTTCCATGGAAATTTCTAGAAAGATCTTGACTCTCCTAGTTCTGCTACTCGATACTAGAAGGCGCTAGTGGTAACTAGTGTCGCCATGTACCAGTCATTAATGATGGCGCGCAACAGTATCATAAAATTTCGTGTCTGTGTTGTAAAAAATTCAAGGTCAAAAGTGAAAAAAAAACAGTTTTTCGTCATTATCTCGGTTTTTCTCCAAAGATGTTAACATCTATTATAAAAATTGTAGAGCATAAAATTTGCGACAAATTTTATTTGAAACGTTTTTTCATGCACTCAACCGTTTTTGTTTCGATTCTAAAAATAAGTACCTATTAAATATTGTAGTGTTATGACATCAGGATAAGTCAACTTAACGTATTTACCTTCAATTTTGGGTCTTGATTATCTAGCCCACGAACTAAATGACATATTGCACCCGCATCGACCACGGCTTCCGGCTTGTGTTGCGCCAGATCCACGAGTGCACCCGCTGTGATCTACATAGATATTTTTAATTATACTTCCGCGTTCTTAATGTTTTTTAAATTGTATTACCTCAATTTACTTGGTATCTTACCTGTTTAAGACTTATTTCAGGTTCTTGAAATGCAAGCACTAACAAAGGAAGAGTTCCAGCGTCAATAACTTGACCAGCTAATTGTTCATTATGCTTTCCAATATAGCCCAAAGCCCAAGCTGCATTTTCTTTTACCTAAAAATTCAACATCAAAATGTAATGGACAAGAATATTATCAAATTATGTTAAAAACACAATGCTGAATCATACCTACTTGCGTATCAAAGTCCTCGAGGCATGTTACTATGTGTTCCAATGCACCAAGACGTACAATCATAGAGGCAAGTTCATCGTTATGCCTGGAATAGAAAATAATTTTATTAATAATATTATAACTTACTAAATTTAAATAGGCTCCAACGAATTCTGGGTTCCTGGATAGTGATACTAAAATGGTGTCTAGATTAACTAAGATTAGCTCAGTTATAATTATTAAATCACTGAAAAGCTAATTCGTGATATATTTAAGTTGTTTGTTGCGAAAGTAAGACTAACACCTTAATCGACTACGCCTCAACACTCAACAGCAACACTGGATATAATAAGATATCTTAATTTATTTTATTTATGATTATGAGCCGTATATTGGAAATGAGGAGATGAGGAGGACTGGATTACTTTCTGATATCTAATTATATTCTTATTAAAATAATTTGTAGAAAACAAACTGATATAGATTAATAACGAAAAAAGATAAAATATTTTTAGAGATTCCAACAAGATATTTAAAATATTTTCGTTTATTTATCACTTATTAAGCGCTTATTGTTCGTAACATTATGCATGACTTTCCGTCCGAATACAATCTGGGCGTCTTCAAGGCAAGAGTGAATAGGCTTTTGTTACGCTAAGACAGTGCGATTTACCATCTAAGGCTGCATCACCACTTACCGCCAGGAGGGATTGTGGTCGAGCACTGGCTTATAATAAGTAAAAAAAAAAGACTTACGACTGCCATGTTAGGAGACCAAAATCGGTTATTGGGTTTTCTGTTGTGGCGGCGCTGTCGTCGCGCTACAAGCAAAACACATCGAAGCCTAAATCGCGCTAACAAAGTTCTGAAGTAAAACCAGTATATATAGAATAACTCCGAACTACCACACAGAGCGTTGGCTGCTCCCCGGGCAGAACACCTTGCCCGGCGGGAGATATCCCCTTTTGCTTCCTACTGCCACAGTGTCAAGAAATTCTCAGTAGCGGCCCGGAGCCATGAATTTAGCGGTTATTTCAACCCCGTACCTTAAAAATCACGTAAAGTTGTTGATCCTGCACCTGATGTCTCTCCGAATTGAGAGTAAGGAAATAGAAAGTGTTCGAATCATATCAAATATTTAATTAACATAATAACATCAAAATTATTACTTTTAAATAAACTATTGCATATAATAATCATTCATCTTCATCATTATATAAGTTCAGTGTTGAACATAGGCGTCCTCCTAGGAATGCCACAAAGCACGGTCCGGAGTCACCTGCATCCATTGACTTCCTGCTATTCTTAAAAGTTCGTCACTCCATCTAGTGGGGAGCTGCCCTACACTTGTGATACATGATAATATTATATATAATTTATTAATAAAGTTTAAGTTTTGACAATGTTTTCCTAATCGATTTTGACCGAGGAAATTGCTTGATACTAAGATGAGCAGTTGTTAAATGCAGTTTATAAAAAGACAGAAGCCAATAGTTTGTGTTTTTGCTTAAACATTATTATTTCTGGCTGGAATTCAAACTTAACATCCGCGACCCATTACTACTGTATGATTAGTGGTATACTGACCACTAAATCATACAGTAGGTTTTACATGGGAACGAGTGACTGCCAAATACATGAACCTTTAAAAGTATTAAATTCTTACCATAACATAATATGTTACAATTTTAATACATATCACATACTTACCTGGCAATAGCTCTCATTAAATATAACGCTGATCTCTTGTAGTATACCTGAAAATATTTTTTAACTAAGGATTATGCGTTCAATGAATATACTGAGTAATTTGTCGTATCAATCATCAAAAAATTTCAGTAAAAGCTATTTCCAGCTTTATAGAGATTTTCACTAGCGTTATTTAAGGTGACTTGACTGATTTTTCTTACCACACCCCCTTTTTAAAATGAATAAGACCCTGAAGTTATCGATATTATATTTAATTGGAAAATCTTTAAATTAATTCCACTGACTCGTAATAGAATGCCGCATTACTGGTGGGACCCTGCCATGAAATGATAAAAACAAATTCCGTAGATTAAACGTGGCAAACATGGTGAGAAGATATTGGTAAATATGGTGTGTAAATATTGGTGTAATATTGATGCTGCAGATTAAAAAAGACCGAGCAGTTATTTAATATATAATAAGTAGAAAAGAAAGACTATAACTTAAAAGAACATAAATGTTATGAAAATGTAACATTGCGGTAGCAGCAATAAAAACTGAAATATATATATATATATATATGATTTTAATTGTTGTTTATGTAGTACCTATGTATACTGCAGATATAAATGCGGCATTATTATCTCGGGAGTAATTTTTCTGGAGGAATACAAATTACAAATAACATTAAATAATGTTACTAGCAACGGTTATATACGGGACTCCCTCAAGTTATCCCTTCGTAGATATCCGTAATTAAAATAATACACTTGGCAAGAAAATTTATTTATATAATTTTCATGCCACCAGAAACACATCAAGTGACGCCCCGTAGGGTCATAGCAATTTATAAGAGGTTAGGTTTTAATACTAAATATTAACTACTACTAAATACCAACTAACATATTTCTGAACATTTCCTAATCTAACATATTCTTTTATATAATTATTACACATACACTTACTATTTATTCGCATCTATAAAGAATTCACTAACTTTTATCGATTAAGCATGACTAATTATTTTTTATAAAAGACTTAGTGTTATTTGGAACATTATTATATATTTTAATTACCATCGTATGGAGACCTGTTGTGAATAATTTTAATTTTGATAATTGAATAAGAAGATAAGATTGACAACTGTATGTAGTAGCACTAACAGGAATCTCGCAGTTTAGATGTTGTTTTCCCTTTTCCCTGATCTAAGTTGACCATTTTGAATCTATTGGAAGTCACAACACTTTCAACACAACACGAAAAAGGTAAGGTTATTTATGAATACGTAGAGCACTGTGATCAAAGAGATTCTCAGGAACTAACGTTCTCCCTTTATTATGTCAAAGCAGATTCTGTGTCGGATTTTGACCGCTAAAACCCTATGTTTACCCTATCGCTGCTCTGGCCAAAACAGAAACAGGAATATTTTGAACTTCACGATGTTTCTGGTCAACAAATCGCCATTATCTAAGGTACGTGAGGTAATATGATCACCTTAAGCGTTGCCGCCTTATAAAACCAAAACTAGGAAGAGGACAGAGACGAATACACAATGTCGTATACTATAACTAATATAGAAAATAATAACAAACAAGCCTTGGCAATAATTAGCAACACTTCGAAAAATCAACTTAATAAAAACTAACTATAGTACGTGAGGGTAATATAGTCATCCGGTTAATATGATCACTTTCTTATAACTCAAAAACTACAGGGTCGTTTGCATAGCACGCTCTATGATACGATAGCTCTTGATCAGTCTATCAAATAATAAAGGGTCAAAAAGGCGCTCCTTTATCGACGCCATTTTGACAGTTGATATTATTGTAAATATTTTAGTCGATTTTTGTATTGTGTAGTGTGGTTAGTTTTTTTAAGTAGATTTTTCGAAGTGTTCCTAATTATTTCCAAAGCTTGTTTGCTATTTTTTTCTTAATATATTAGTTATAGTATACGACTTTGTGTTTTTGTTTCTGTTCTCCTCCTAATTTTGGTTTTATAGAGCGATAAAGGTTAAGGTGACGATATTACCCTCACGTACTTACTATAATATCAACCGTCAAAATGGCGTCGATAAAGCGGCGGCCTATTGACCCTTTATTATTTTTTTTTATACTTTTTCTTTTTTCTTTTTACACAACGCCATCTAGTCCCAAGCTAAGCAGAGCTTGTGTTATGGGTACTAGACAACTGATAAACATACTTATATATTTCTAAATACATAAATATTATAGATAAATTACACCATTATTATAAATTAAATTTGAATGATTGATGAAGAGCTATCGTATCACAAACCCATCTATGCAAATTAGGTTGTAGTTTATGAGTTATAAGAAAGTGACCATATTAACCGGATGACCATATTACCCTCACGTACTCTAGTGATTGGCCCTATGGTACGTCCGATACCTGCTCGATGATACTTTTTCTTTCATACGTTCAAAACAAAAGAAGAACTTAAGTACGGGATATTCGATCACAGGCATGAATGAGTATCGTGCGTTCCGGTCGAAAACAAACCATACATACTCGTAGATCGAGATTAAGTGATAAGATTTGAAAGCCCAACAAGTCAATTTTAAGTCTACCAATCTATTTTACGTGAAGGTGCAAAAACAGCCAAATAATTATATCCTTCAAACCAAATTTCGGTCACGGTGGCCAGTCCAAGCCAGAATTTTAGTGACACGACCGGAAAGAGATCAGACGCAGGACCAACGGCTTTACAAGCTTTCCAAGGCGCGAGGGTGAAACACCGCCAACTTCTGACTTTACCGCCTACTACCGGGAATTTCTTGGAATGAAATGAAATGAAAATTCTTTATTTTTTAACGTAAGACACAATAGTTCAATTGGACACCGTCAATTGTGCTACAGACGTTGAACGTTCTTCGTTCACGGATTGTGTCACACGAGTGAATCCTACATAAAATAACATAGTAGGGAACCAATAAAATGTAAAGGGGTCAATAATCGCAGCTTCTTAAATACCAAAAAAACTTACATTATATTTGTGAAGGTTTTCTAGCACGGTAGTGACCATGCCCCCGTTCAGCAACTGCCTGGCCACTCCCTCGTCGTGTTCGGCCAGCCTCGCTGCTGCTACAACAGCACACTGACGCACCGTACTATAAGCGTCCGATACCAGAGGGCGAAGTAATTCTACGGAACCAAAATGTTTCGTATCAAGGTTTTTATTAGTTTTCAATAAACAACTTTTAAAAGATCGGTACGTGAATACTTTTTAAAGTCAGAGGTTGTGAGTAATATATGAACAACATCATCTTTTGGTTTTGTTATGGGATTGTGTATTGTGGACCAAGTGATTAATCAGAGCACTATTTATAGGTAATTCCCGGGCAATATGAATAATGACAAGTCAAATCGAGCTATGTAGGTAATTAATAACTGATTTAAACTTCATTATTTATCAAATTGTCTGGTCATTATTAATATTGCTACGTAGGTAACTGTTGGGCAAATGGATATAACCTAACCTAACCAAACCTTACCACGTTAATCACTTTTAAGACAATAGGTTAATAATGTTGAAGTAGTTAAAAATTAATTTGCTAATTATACGATATTTGTATAAATAAAAGAATACTTATTCGACCATCGATCACTAATATTAATTAGTGATCGATGTATTCGACCGATAATTTTTAAAATTAATTTTTTTTCAATATTATATTTTAATTTATTTATGCTTGCTTACGATTATATCATTATAATGTACGCGGCTTTAGGGTGGCCCAAGTACAAGTACCACCTCAGCCGCACTTTAACCTACTGTCACTGATATTGCAAGATTGGTGTACCTAATGTTTTATTAGGCGCAAATAGCTTTAGTGTAATAAATGAGTAAATATAATGTAGCTGCACTTAGAAGCAGTTAGAAGTGGCAAGTTAGGTCTCCGATATAATGGTCTCAAAAGAGCCAGAAATGCTTGTAAAATGTAAGTGTAAATAATCTTACAGGCGTTCTCTTACCAATTACTCCAGCGCTCTCTAGACATTTCACGTTCGTTGATCTGGTCGCCAACTCGGCTATTGACTGGACAAATGCAAGCCGAGCCTTCTGATATGTCTCGAATACTAAAAAATACGTAGTTTACGTCATTCAACATACGAAATACAGCAGCATTATGCTGCTATTTTACGTATTCTGTGACCTATTGGTGACCTATTAGTGCAGCAGCTATATTATGTAGCAGCGTACAGTTATAGAGCGATTGTATAAGTCTTTGCAGTTCTTCACAATTTGATGGAAACTACCTAGATACTTTCTTTGTGTAAAACTTTAAAGTTCATAAATGAAACAGTTACTTGACTGGAAAGAAACTATCCGTAGTTTAGTGTAATAATGGCGAAGAATATTAGTTAGATACGCGTAAATAACTACGATATTCCATACTTTACGGCTTTCGTTTTGGCTCTTTTAAAGTTTTTACGTGAATATGCCAAGCATTTGACAAAGATGTCTAAAGTCGAAGAACAGTGTACGCTCTTGAGGGACGACCCTCGGAGTTAGATGCCGACAGATTGCTTCAGCTTGTTGAAGATAATTTATATACCTGAGCATTACAAAGTACTTATTTCAGGTCGTGATATGTATGGAAATGAGGTTGCTAAATTCCGTATACCGTAAACAATATCGGCGGAGTACCGACAGTTACGCCACAGAATGAATAATAGAACTACGTTTACGCGTAGAATCCTGTATGCAATTGCTCTCTCGTCGCAGAACTATAACCTGGTAAAACAATCTTGTTCCGGAGATTTATAACGAAACGTTCTACACGCATAGGGCAATATTTGGTGGATTAATTCAATACCACCAACCTGCCCCGAAACCAAATCCTACTCAAGAAAAAGTTATGTTCCTTTAAATGGGATGCTAAAGGACTATTATCTTATATAAGAAAATATCAAGGCAAAGCGCCCACAACGTTTGTTACATTCAAGAAAATACTGGAAAAAATGGATTATCACTAATCAGACCTCGCGCCGCGCCGACAGATTTTTTCTCGTAGCGCAGTACTTTAATCTGTGCTCGTAGTACCTACGTACGAAATTATTTAGATGACAAACAATTCGAATATAATTCGCGAAAATAACCGACTCGTTCACTTCTTTATTACGCATACTGCAACAACTCAATATTAATTTGTAATAGTAAACAACAACCATTTTGTAATAGTAAACATAAATTGCAACAAATAATTTTTCATCCATTACAGCCTATAAAAGTTTACTGCTGAACATCGGCCTACCCCATAGTTTGTCTCATAGAAGAGATATGTGTTTAGTAACCGCAGTTTTTTTTTACAATTTTATTTGTATCAGAAAGATGCTGCCGCTGCTGCCCAACTCCTATTTTAGCTTCCCTCTGCCGCTACTTACGATACCCACGGGTCGGTATAGGGTAGTGGATATTCTTACATCACTACTACACGGTTAAGTAATATTGCTATAAAATATTAATAATAGGTAATGTATACGTGGTAGAGCCATGCTGCAGCTATATTAGTAGTATCTATAGTTGTAGCACGAATGGGTCGGCTCGACCGGGGAAGGACCACGCTCTCACAGAATACCAGTATAAAATATCAGCTGAACGCTGCTGTGTTTCGTATGGTGAGTGTAGAGAACCGGAGACCCTTTTTACTAGAAATGAGGCATTCCATCTTAGTCCTCACGGGTGACAACGCATCTGCATTTTGATTTGTAATAGAGGATAGATGTAGATGTCTATGGGCCGCAGCAACCACTTACCATCAGGTGGAATGTGTGCTCGTTTGTCACACTTATCCTATAAAAAAACCTGGGAAAGACAACGCCTTACAGAATACCCGCGTAAAACAGCAACTTAATGCTGCCATGTTACGTATGGTGAGTGTCTACTCGAAGGTAACAACACATCTACATTTTGATTCTTAATCCAGCATAGATGTAAATGTCCACTTATCATCAGATAGACACTGTGCTCGTTTCTCACTCTTCTTTCTTTTATATACAAAAGGAAAAATGATTCTGTAACACACAAGTTGACTGTACTCCCACATACGTGGTCAGTGTTTGTAAATATTGCTACACACGTTGATATTTTTCCGCATTGATGTAATACAAGCCTTACATCGTCGCCTTGTGTCTAGAAACATCAAGAAAATCTCACAGCTTATTTATTAATAATATTTAACATGATGGAATCTTATGCAAAGCTTAAGTAACAATAATAAAAATACCTAGTTGTATATTCTTAGGACTACTCATTGAATGAGTCATAGTAATATAATATTTTAACACTTTTAAAACAATAATCTAGAAAAAATTTAATTATTTATAATATTTCCTAATATGACATATAACAATCTGCCACCTTGAATTTTTTCTCACTGTCATGTCAACGGTAGAGGATAGAGAGCATTATGTCGACGACTGTAATACTAATACATACTCATAATAAGATAATATTATATCTACGATTGGCGATTTTTGTATACTTAATAACATTTACGAATAATAAATAAATAAAAAAAATAAAAAATTTAATTGAATTATTTTTATTCATTATAGATATTATATTTTATTGTTTACATAATATTGAAATGGTAGAGCCACGCTGCAGCTTCTACTGTAGCATGTATGGGCCGGCTCGAACCGGGGCAGTACTACGACCTCACAGAATACCAACGTTAAGTAGAAGCTTTGCTTCTTCGCTTGGTTAGTGCAGGTGGCAGGAGCCCCCCCCCCCCATCCATAACATGGTAGCGGATTCAAAAAAAGACTACCCCAGGAGGGCACCAGCACCCCTGGTAATAAAGAGCATCCACGGTCAAGCTACTCTCATCGTCATGAGCATGGATACTCAGGCTGCCTGCGTATTCTGGGGGGGGGGGGGGATTTATGACTTTGCCTTGGCATATGGTCTGACACAACTGGTTACTTCGCCTACGCGGATTCTAGATGTGGAGGATCATACAATGGCATTACAAGTCGGCGGATTGGGACGGAATGCGGCCTTTCTTTGCACCCTACTCATGGGGGCGAGTTTGCTTCTTGCCGGATGACCACAGCGCTGTTGCTGACTCTGTCACTGATGTGGTGCTACATGGAAGGAACTATTTATTCCATCATCTGTGGTACCCATCGGAGACAGATATCAACCCTGGTTTGATTGCTCCTATAAAACTGCATTACGCAGTAAGCGGTAGTGTTATCAAACCTGTGCTGAGACTTCGGCGGCCCGGGATGTAAGCACCATAATGCTTAACAAGAAGTATAATTTCGCCTCCAGGTCATTCAAAAGAGTTATTGCCAAGGCAAAATATGAGCACATTGGCAGAATTGGCGAGAAATTAATTCACCTTCCTTCGGGAACCCATGCCTTCTAGTCTCTCGCCAAGGCTGTTCAAGGGAATTGCTATAAGTCATCACTACCATCTCTGCATAGGGAGGACGACTCACTGACCCACGCCGCAAAAGAGAAAAACGGACCTTTTAGGCTCCCTTTTTGCATCCAACTCGACTCTCGATGACGGGGGAACACACCGCCGACCATCCCTCAGTATGAGTGCTCTATGCCTGATGTGACAAACACAAAGTACTCAGTACGCAAAGCACTCCTCTCCCTGGACATCCACAAGTCGAGTGGGCCTGACAGAATCCCGCTAATTGTGCTGACGACGTGCGCTCCATAGTTGGCATCGATTCTAACGCGTCTTTTCCGGTACTCCTATTCCCTAGGCGTTGTCCCGAATGCATGTCCCTAAAAAAGGCGACCGCTCAGACCCGTCCAACTATAGGCCTATCGCGATCACCTCCTTGTTCTCCAAAATAATGGAATCCATTATTAACTGCCAGCTCATCCGGTACCTTGAGGATCACCAGCTGATTAGTGACCGCCAATACGGTTTTCGTCGGGGTCGATCAGCTGGTGATCTTCTGGTCTACCTGATCCAAGGGGGAGGCGTTGGCCGTTAGTCTGGACATTGCGAAGGCCTTCGATCGGGTTTGGCACAAAGCGCTTCTTTCGAAGCTCCCTTCCTATGGGCTTCCCGAGAAATTGTGCAATTGGATCACCAGCTTCCTTGCAGATCGGAGCATCAAGGTCGTTGTAGACGGTGCATGTTCTGACTACAAGCCTATTAACGCTGGTGTTCCACAATGCTGTGTGCTATCACCAACGCTGTTTCTTCTGCATATCAATGATATGTTGCTAACTGGTAACATTCATTGCTATGCGGATGACAGCACTGGTGATGCTCTATACACCGGCCGTGCCAATATTTCTCGGGAAAACGTCAATGAGTACCGGAACAAACTTGTGTCTGAAGTCGAGTCTTTGCTGGAAAAAGTCTTGGATTGGGGGCGACTAAATCTAGTCCAGTTTAATCCTCAGAAGACACAAGTTTGCGCGTTTACCGCTAAAAAGAACCCCTTTGTCGTATCTCCTCAGTTTCAAGGCACTCCCCTTCTTGCCTCAGCCAGTATCGGTATCCTCGGAGTCGACATATCGAGTGACGTGCAGTTTCGTGGTCACTTGGAAGAGAAGGCCAAATTGGCCTCTAAAAAGCTTGGCGTGCTCAGCAGAGCGGGACAGTATTTCATGCCGGCACACCGCCTGCAACTTTACAAGGCGCAGGTTCGGCCTCACATGGAATACTGTTCCCATCTCTGGGCAGGGGCTCACCAGTGCCAGCTCCTTCCACTTGACCGCATCCAGCGCAGAGCGGCTCGAATCGTCGACGACCGAGCCCTTTCCGATCGGCTCGATTCATTGGCACTGCGAAGAGATGTTGCATCCCTTTGCATTTTCTTTCGCATCTACCATGGGGAGTGCTCTGAGGAATTGTTCGGATTAATCCCAGCCGCCAAATTTTACGAACGCACATCGCGGCAGAACTCCCGATACCATCCACACCATCTGGATGATTGGCGGTCCACCACTGTGCGATTTAGAAGATGTTTTCTTCCTCGCACGACTTCCTTGTGGAATCGATTACCGTCAGCGGTTTTTCCGGACCGATACGACTTAGGGACCTTCAAGAAAAGAGCGTACTCCTTTTTAAAAGGCCGGCAACGCATCTGCAATTCCCTCCCTGGTGTTGCAGTTGTTCATGGGCGGCGGTAGTCACTTACCATCAGGTGAGCCGCATGCTCGTTTGCCCCCTCTCCTATAAAAAAAATGGAAGACAGCTTTCGTGCACCCGATCCCTAAAATAGGTAACGGCTCTGATCCGTCCGACTACAGGCCTATCGCCATCACCTCCTTATTGTTCTCTAAAATAATGAAGTCCATTATTACCAGCCAGCTTATGCGGTACCTTGAGGAGCACTAGCTAATTAGTGACCGCCAGTATGGTTTACGTCGGGGTCGCTCAGCTGGTGATCTTCTTGTTTACCTGACACAGATGGGCGCAGGCGATCGAGTACAAGGGGAGGCATTGGCCGCTAGTTTGGACATAGCGAAGGTCTTCGATTGGGTTTGGTACAAAGCGCTTCTTTCGAAGCTTCCTTCCTATGATCCCGAGAAATTGTGCAATTGGATCACTAGTTTTCTGGCTGATCGGAGCATCAAGGTCGTAGTAGGTGGTACATGCTCCAATTACAAGCCTATTAACGCTATCACCGACACTGTTTCTTCTGCATATCAATGATATGTTGCAAGCCGGTAACATTCATTGCTATGTGGATGACAGCACTGGCGATGCTTTATACGCCGGCTGTGCCAATATATCTCGGGAAAACATCGCCGAGTACCGGAACAAACTTTTGTCTGAAGTCGAGTATTTGCTGAACATAGTATCAGATTGGGGGTGACTAAATCTATTAGTACAAAATTAATCCAGTTTAATCCTCACAAGACACAAGTTTGCGCGTTTACCGCTAAAAACAACCCCTTTGTCGTATCTCCTCAGTTTCAAGGCACTCCCCTTGTCTCCTCGGTCAGTATCAGAATCCTCGACGTCGACATATCGAGTAACGTGCAGTTTCGTGGTCACTTGGAAGATAAGGCGAAATTGGCCTCTTAAAAGCTTGGCGTGCTCAGCAGTGCGGATTAATCCCAGCCGCAAAATTTCACCATCGCACGTCGCGGCATCATCCACACCATCTGAATGCTTGGCGGACCACCACTGTATGTTTCACTAGGCGTTTTCTTCCTCGTACGACCTCTCTGTGGAATAGCTTACCACCGGTGATTTTTCCGGACCGATACGATTTAGGAACCTTATAGAAATAAAACGCGGCCAAGTGCAAATCGGACTCGCCAATGAAACAAGTAGTAGCAGCAAGTAACATAATTTACGATTTATAACGTATTAAAAAAAAACTACTTACTAGATCTCGTTAAAACCAATTTTCGGTGGAAGTTTACATGGTAATGTACATCATATATTTTATTTAGTTTTATCATTCTCTTATTTTAGAAGTTACAAGAGGGGACACACATTTTACCACTTTGGAAGTGTCTCTCGCGCAAACTATTCAATTTAGAAAAAAATTATATAAGAAACCTCAATATCATTTTTGAAGACCTATCCATAGATATCCCACACGTATGGGTTTGATGAAAAAAAATTTTTGAGTTTCAGTTCTAAGTATGGGGAACCCCCAAAATTTATTGTTTTTTTTTCTATTTTTGTGTGAAAATCTTAATGCGGTTCACAGAATACATCTACTTACCAAGTTTCGACAGCATAGTTCTTATAGTTTCGGAAAAAAAATGGCTGTGACATACGGACGGACAGACAGACAGACATGACGAATCTATAAGGGTTTCGTTTTGGCTACGGAACCCTAAAAAGCTTTAGTCCTTTCTAAAAGGCCGGCAACGCACCTGCGATTCCCCTAGTGTTGCAGTTGTTCATGAGCGGCCGTAGTCACCTTTCCTATAAAATAAAAATTTAAATTATCATACAGCCCTACTCTCCGTAGTATCGTGCCAAGAACGCTGGCTGCGACTCCTCCCTGAATGGCTATAGATGCTTAGCCTTTGAGCGAGAAAAGAACCACGCCTCTTATCACTAGTAGCATCGATCAGTCGCGGATAGGGTTCTTTTAGGGACTTCATTGCACGTGGACCCCACAGACCCATAGCCTCTACAGCAAATGACACTAATATGTAGTCATCTCTCAGAGACTCATATTATCGCCACATACTTAGTTCAGCTGCCTCTGATGCCGCCCTGGATCTAAACGAGATACCCCTGAGATGAGAGGCTGCCAAAGTGTCTACGCAAGAAGCATCACACACTAGGGTTTTACATCTCTCCCAAGGGACCAATGTCATACCGTCGTGTCTCCTGCCGTCGACTCTAAATATTCCACATGGCTCTAAAACCGAGGGAACGTTTATAGAGACAAGAGCTCTTGGGATAACATCGTTCAAAGAACCGTACCGTGAAAACCTAACAGCACTTTTCTTACATGAAAGTCCGCGGATTAATTTAATTCATAGATTACTAATCTAAGTACATAGGTATAGTTACTACCCACTACCACTACTATCATAGGTATAGGTACTAGTTTGTCCCCAGCGCGTTGCTACCACAGAAGAAATAATTGTGGAAATATGGTTTTAACAAATATTAATTTTTATATAATAGATTAAAGAATTTAATCATAATGTAGGTATTATAATACACGGCCACCATACCGTAAGATGAGAAATGGATAGTGCATCTTAGCAAATGTTTTTCGTCTTATATAAATTTTAATTTCATCATCATCATCATCATTACAGCCTTTCATAAGTCCACTGCTGAACATAGGAATGTCACAAAGCACGGTCCTGAGCCACCTGCATCCATCGACTTCCTGCATGCCTTACCAGGTCGTCACTCCATCTCGTGGGGGGTCGCCCTACACTTCGCCTACCGGTACGAGGCTGCCACTCGAGAACCTTTCTTCCCCATCGGTTGTCGGTTCTTTGAGCTATATGGCCGGCCCGCTGCCACTTCAGCTTACTAATCCGTTGAGCTATGTCGGTTACTCTAGCCAATACAATTTATATTTCTTTAATTTAGTTGTGTGCAGAATATGCAAGAAGTAGATGGATAGATAATTCAGAACTGCATTATGTGGCATTCTTCATTCAACCGGAGACCCATTTTACTTGAAAAGAGGCATTTTATTTTAGTCCTCACGGCTGACAACGCATCTGCATTTTAATTCGCAAACGTAGATAAATGTCTATGCGTCACAGCAACCACTTACAATCAAGTGGACTGCGTGCTCATTTGCCACCCTTATTCTATAAAAAAAATTCTATGTGGAAGGCCTATATTCAGCAGTGGACTTGTAGGGCTGTAATAATGATTAATTCTGTGGTAATAGCATGAGCAGTAATAGAATTTTAGAACGGCCTATTTAGGTACTGTAAATTATAAGCATTCAGCCAGGAGGAAGAATCATTAAACATTCAGAGGAAAAATCCAACATTTTAAATTTACCGGATTTATCAGACTTTTATTGAAGCTTCTTCTAATTGCATAATATTTATATTTAATAATCGTATCCCGAAAGGCAAAAGTGGTATGTTTTTCAGTGTTTTATATTTTCGTTTGATTTTATGTAAAGTAAGAGCGACTGTTGATCATGTGGCCCTAAATTCGAACTCGGATAAGATATATTGAAGATATAATTGGGATTTTCCGTCAATAAATTCTCCGTAGCAACGCGAAATCAGGAAGATGGCGGTGTCTAATCTACCCGATATATTACTTTCCTCAGGCGCGACGCCTGATCCGGTCGTGTCGGATTGCCGTCTCATCGGAATATGAAATGAGGTTAGATGTAGATGTCTATAAGCCCCAACATTTACTTACCATCAGGTAGACTGTGAGTTAGGTGCCTGTGGTTGATCCCCAACAAAATACTCTAACAATTTTTGTCGGGAGCGTACGCAGCTCTTGAGCGGCGTTATGCTCATTTTTGGGTTCTCAAGTAGTCGTTATAAGAAAGATGCTGCTGCCCATCTTATTTTTTTCCCTCTGTCGACTCTTACGACACCCACGGAATGATAACATGGGGTAGTATTACACCGCCACTACACGGCACAACTGATTTCATATAAATGGTAACATACACTATGGGTAATTACTGTTTAGATTTAAATTTCATTGCTTAAAAAGTTTTGTCAATTATTTATGTTATTTTATTTATTATTTCATTTCAATGTGTTTTATTGGTGACGTCGAAGAAACTATTAATTCTCCTTGCTATTTTTAAACTCTTAACACAAACTAGCTATAACTTAACGTTAAATGTATATTTATAACTTTAAAATTTGTATTCATTATTGGAGGCTGTAAAGCAACAGCGCGCTACGTTCTAATAACGTGAACGCCGTTCAACAGCACAGTCCCGTGAAGGCCACGTGACGAGCGACGTCACGATCACGTCAACCACATCCACTACCACCACACAACCACACACACAGTACCTACCTATAACCTATAAGATGCATGTATACAACGCCATTGTGAATACCGGCCTCAGCCGCACGTTTGACTGCTTACCTGGCAAAGTTCACTCACATACGAGGTTGTGCCTGTAGCGGTCTTGACCGCGTGCTTACTTTATTTTAATACAATTGCTTTTAATCAAAAGAACCAATCAAAGTGAAAATGAGATACGTCATTCATAAATAACTATTAGTATCACAAATTAACAAGTGAAACGTTGCATCATCAAACAATTATAAAAACATGCCTTACATCATGGTAATGGGCAGCCTTAGTGCACCGCATCTTTCTAAGGATGAAGGTGCAGCGGTGTACGGATTAAAAAGCGAAGAAAGAGCTACATTAGTGCGGGTAAATAGTTTTATTGTTACGGTATATTTTTTTGTACATAAATAATGTCCTAACTTATCACTCCAGCATTCATAAAAGCAGTTATTATTGCATACTATGTACTTACATTACGTCAAACCGTGATAAAGCACCGCAGAAAGGCTTTGAGCACGAGCACGATAAAAATATGATTGAAAATTGGTAGAAAAATAACAATCTTCAGGTTTTTATAAGAATCATAAATACTCTGTAAATAATTTAATATTCAGGTTTTATAATTAATTGAATAAAAATAAAGGTAAAATTATAAAATAGATCCATATGTGTAACTAAAAAAAACTTATGAAACGAGCATAAAAATTAAATTAAAAAGATGGTTTTCATAGTACAGGAGGAATCGGCGCATGAGTACCGAAAACTATTCCACCTCAATTTTTTTGCGATTCTCTTCAAATTCTTTTATTGATAATATGTAAATGCATGTTGCCATCGATTTTTTTTTAATTGTAAGGAATTGTTATTTTCAAAGGGGACAATTTGTTTTTATATTTTTTTATGAAAGACGAATGAAAAAGATCCTCTGATTTTTTACGATAAAGATAATGTTTTCGGAGTTATGAATTTATACATGTTTGAAAAACTCCAGATTCGGATACTTTTGACCCATTAAAATACATAAAGAAAAATAATCAAATAATCAAATATAAAAGATTTTTTTTAACATTCTTTGATGAAATACAAATATCTTTTTCATTCGTATTTCATCAAAATATAAAAAATTGTCCCGTTTGAAAATAAGAATTCCTTGCAATTGATTAAAAAATCGATTTAAACAATTTGGCACCGAGTTGTCCCATGGCAACATGTATATATATCATTAGTAGGACATATTGAAGAGAATCGCATAAAAAAAAATTGATGTAGAATAATTTTCGGTACTCATCCACCGATTTCTCCTGGACTATCACATGTTTGGAATTATATAAACAAATTATTTTTGGGTTCCGTTGTGAAACAAGGCTAAAATTACAATTTGTCCTCACGCACATATAGCATTATGGCCTTAGTAACTTAAGAGATGATGCACCCTGGAACCCTGGAAACATACTTGCGTGTCCCAACAAGCACTTGGCGTTTAATATTTAAATTTTAACGCATGTTCAATGCTTACCCTAACTGCAACTGCATGAGTTGTACTTCTATCTGATCAGTAATGTTATAAGTACAATTTTTATTTTCCCTACTGAAATTTTTTGACGTAGGTATGTATATATATGTTCCTTTGTAACTTAAGCTCTGGGAGATGCCTTCAGATTTATCTTTTTCTTCAGATTATTATTGGCTACTTTTTGTATTATAAAAACAGACTAATACAAAAACTAAAAAGCGCTTGAAGCGCATTTAGGGTAACGTGTATTTTAACTGCTTGCGTTAATTAATCTTTCATTTCAGGAACTGAATTCGTCGTTCGGAATGGCGGTAGCGACATCATCAGACGTAGAAAGAACAGTTCGCATCACGCATAAGGGCTTAACTTTAATGGTAGTGAATCGCCTGCACGGGCTTTTTGGATACGACGTTGTATCTCACGCGATGGCAATGACCAATGCGAATAGAGAATTAATCTCGTTTACTATGTATAAAAAGTCAAGCCCAAACACCCATGGCCACAGTCACACTCATGGTCACGGTCACAGTTCTGCACACAAAGCTCATGCGCATAGCAGCGTCGTAACACTTTAACGTTGTACTTAATGTACTTACTGTATCTACTGACCGTTTATTAGCAGTAATCAACAACGCTACTAAATAATTGTTTAATGGTTACTGTGACCCACTATTATCCTATTGCTAAGTTAAACTCAGGAGTAAAAAAATTTAATTTAGAAAGAAATATCAATGACGTTGGAATATATTTTATTTGTAAAGTAACTCAGATAAAAATATCAGTATTACTCTGAAGATATTACTGCGCAAAATTTTTGTAATTGAACATTAATCTATATACTGGGTGGCGATTAGGTTAACACATTAAAAAACCATTTTTAGATTTTTAGTCTGTCTGTCTGTCCGTCCGGGATAATCTTCGCAATGGCTGAACCGATTGTAATGAAACTACGAACAGATGCAAGAGCAGTACCAGCGGTGATCTAGACTATATTTTATGAAAAAAAAAACTTGGATATTAAAAAAATTATAAATCGAATAGTCTTTGGTTATCTTAAATCTAAATATTAATAGCCATATTAATAGCTCTCACCTAAGCGAAGCTGAGGCGGGTCGTTAATAGAAAATAAATTCTTAGAATTTTTCTAAAAAAATTTAATCGTAGATTCAAAGTATTCTTATGCAATTTCGTACTTAAAATTTGTTTACGAAGTAGATTAGGCATTATATCTCAAAGTTAAGGTTTCTAAAATAATAAAACACTGTTTTTTTTTAATGTATAATTATAAAAATTGCATAGTTAAATTTAAAAAATCTTATCAGTCTTAATTTATAATAGATAACAGTTGTTCTTCTAAGTTTATAAAATTATTCAACTACTGTAAATATAGACTAGATAAAATTATTAATAAAGGCAAATTAAAACATTATGTGTTTAATATAGTACATACCTGATCGACAAAATATTGTGGGTCTGAGAGTACACAATAAATCTCACAGATCATACAAACAATTCACATATTTACACATATTACATAATATGTCCCAGCATAGTATCTATGTACAATTTTTTAAAGTATTATTCACGCTTTTTATTGTTTTCCAGTTTTATGACATAATTTGCTTAAAAATCTTAAATAACTTTCTATGACACGCTTTAACAGTTACATACATATAGACTACATATAATACATATAGAATTAAAATAATAAACTAACTTTAAAACTAACATCACACTGTGAAAGCGTCGGCAAGGCTGTTTCGATAAAAAAGAAATTACCAAAATCAGTCGACCTTACGGTTAAGATATTACTGGAAGTGATTCTGGCAGAATGTTTAAAAAGAAACGAAATTTATTGCAGCGTTTGTGTGAAACTTGTTATAATATTTGGACAAAGGTTACCAGCGTTTCTCTTATATGTACTGTGACAATACTTTAATCCTAAATTAAGCTGTGACTGCATAATATCACTGAGGTAGACCATCAGTATTACAAAATTAACATTCATAAATACCAAATTCAGTAACATGTTTATTAACATATGTTTATAAAACACAGAATATCACTTTAAAATCGCTCTGGAAATCTTTTGTCTTTCCGCAGCCAACTTCTTTAGAGCCGCGGCGTACTGTCTCTGCACTTCGATAAGCCGAGTATATTCCGTATGGAGTGCAGTTTTTTGTTCCTTTTCACTATTAAACTTCTCCTCTACTTTCCTAACCGTTTGATTAACCCAATCGACTATAGACTCAAACTGAGTCATGAACTCTTCTCTTTTCCGCGTTGAAGACATTGCCCTATAAGAATATAAGAAATTAAACAAAAAATATTTGACCAATATCAAAAATTGAAAGAAAGTAAATTAAAAATTTAACTTACTCTTCATAATTATCTAGTATTGAATTAAGCAAACTTAATTCTTTTGATGTGTAAAGTTTAACTTCATAAAGAGTATTATAGAATATGAAATATTGCTTTGTCTCCTTATGTTTAGAAGCGACTGAAACAAATAAAAAAAAACCAATTTTACATACAAACACATTGCTTATACAAGTTTTTGGTCTACATTCTTTATCTAAAGTGAAAATTATTTCATTTTTGCTTTTCCTTCTTTAACATGTGCCATCTTATTAAATTCTACTTTTGAATTTAAAGTAGTATCTCCACTTTATTTCGACTCTGAGTTTACGCTATTGAGTTATATGATGATGATGATGATCACCACGAACGAAACGAGAGAACGGCGAACGAAAGAAAAGTGAATATTTAAGCCTGTTATATTACATTCAGTGGGTGTAGCAAAAGCACCCGTAAACAAAACTCGCTTCAAAGTATACAGCTATCAAGTCAGCTATATAAGCTGAAGCAATATTGCCAGAATATACTCTGCAAGGTACTGCACAATAACTTAGCCGCTAAAGTATGGTAGGTATTATTGCTGAACTATATAGCGATATAGCAGCATCTTCCTGACAACAATTCAAAATAATAAATAGCTGCAGTTGCCAAAGCGTCGCAACTATGGCAATATGAGGCAATCAATGGGGAGGCCTATGTTCAGCAATGGATTTTTATAGGCTGTAATGGTTGGGTGGATGGATATAGCTGTGGACGTGAAATGACAGCCTAAGAAAATGTACTACCCCTTATTATCCCGTGACTACACTCACGGGATAATAAGGAAGAAATTTAAGAGGAAAAAAAATGGAAACTGAAACAGCATGTGCAGCAAAATCTTACTGATAACAATCGAAAATCACAAAAAACTGCGGTTGCCAACCTGCCTGCCAAGTGTGCACTTTCAGCAGTAGACTTTTGATAAGTTGTTATGAATGAATGAATGATTCATTAAGAGCCATAGCCGGCGACTTGTTATAACGATTCATATTAAAATGAAACTAACTCATGTGACAACATTGCTAATTTGAAAATGTAGCCACTACTAATGCTGTAATGGTTTTTTTTTTATAGGATCGGGTGACAAACGAGCACACAGTCCACCTGATGGTAAGTGGCTACTGTGACCCATAGACATCTACATCTATCCCAATAAAGACTCAAGATGCAGATGCGTTGTCACCCGTGAGGACTAAGATGGAATACCTCTTTGCCGGTATAAAGGGTCTCCGGTTCTCTACACTCACCATACGAAACACAGCAGCGTTAAGCTGCTATTTTACGCTGGTTTTCTGTGAGAGCGTGGTCCTTCCCCGGTCGAGCCGACCCATTCGTGCTACAACCATAATATAGCTGCAGCATGGCTCTACCACGTGTCATTTTTATTAAAATATCCACATTTGCATTTTACTCAAGACGCCAACCGGCATTAATTAGAGAATGTAGAAATTCAAAAATATAGCAAGTTTAGAAATAGACTAGGATAAAAAGCCGGCGAAGGGTAGAGCGTTCCCACTAGATGAAGTGAAGACGTGGTAAGAAATGCAAGAAGTCGATGGATGCAAGTGGCCCAGGACCGTGCTTTGTGGCATTGCTTGGGGGAGGCTATGTTTAGCAGTGATCTTGTGAAGGGCTGTAATGATGATGATGATGATGAGGCAGTGTATTAGCCAAGTTCGGGAAATAAAAGTATAATACAACACACATTGTACGGTCACAATATACACAGTGTGGTGTAATGTGAACGTTCAAACTTGGCAAGTTCTAATAGTCAAAATATTACGTTAAACGTGATGATGTTTTATACAAAATTAACATTTAAGTTTTTGATTTGTTGTATTTTATACAACAAATTAATTGGGCATAAAAATTGCCAATTTATAAGTGCACCAGATAAACACCATTCTATCTATCTAGACATTAAAACAGCATCTGAAGTTTTTGTACCCATGAATCCAAATACCTTGATTATACAGTTCCACAAATCTCTTCTCATACTGCAACAGTTCAGCAGCTCCGGGTATTTCATCAAGAGCTACTGTGTATCTCAAAATTTGTCTATTCAATTTACCAAGCTCTAGCCTTGTGCTAGTGATAAATTCGTTTAACTTCCCTTCCCTTTCCTTAAATTCTTGCAACTCGGCTGGAGTTAAAGGCTGCTCTTCTATCTTTGAGCCTGTATTTTGTACCTCCCTAAAACAAGTAATATATTAAATCGCACTAAGTAAGTAGTAAAACTAAATTTCGAAGCAATGCCTTTCGTTTTACCTTAATTCCTCTTCTAATTTTTTATGCTCCATTTCCCTATGTTCTATTATTTTCAACAATTCATTTCTTTCTCTAGCCAAATCCTTTAGAGATGCATAAAAGTCTTTTACATTTTTGTCGCTGAAAGTTTTACTACAATAATTATTGAATGTCAGTTCATTAATAACTAAAACTAAATGGATTTCTTGTTACCTATAGTTATCTGAATTCATTAAATTTTGTGTAATTTTTTTCAACTCGCTAATCGTAGTTGAATACTGATTTTTGGCATCCTCCATTCTGCTTTCATGATTCATCTTAACTATATCAATTTCCTTTTCCATTGTTTCTATTGTCTTTGTAAGCTTTGCAATGTCCTCAGAATACTTAATTTTTTCACTATCTTCAAGTTCTTTTGGAATGTCACCAGTGACTTCAGAATGTAAAACTTCATAATGAATTTTAGTATCACCTGCTTCACTACTATCTTCAATGTTCACATGTCTATCAGTCTGTAAATATAAGGTATTTATTATAATTATGCACCAAAAAACTGATTATAACTAATTAATTAAAGTTTACTTACTTCTGTGGTGACTTCTGAAGGGTCTGCCAAAGTTTTCTCATAATCATACTGCAATAAATCATTAAATAAATCATCAAAAAACTATTGCATGTGAAAATATAGTTGCAATTTCTTTCGCCTGTTAAATTTACATAACATTAGTCTGGCCATAAATAATGTCTTGTACGCTACCCAGACGGAAGTAATAACATTTGTTTTCCTTTTCTGTATATAATTCGGAACTCGTTTACTAATGTAAGGAACTTCCATCGATTTGAAAGAATCAGACGGGCAGTAAGCGCTATCAAAGTCAGAACTCGAAGAAACCCTATAAAGAAACCTAAAATACTATTGCCTATAATGAATCTTCCCTCTAGGACCCACCCTACCGCGAATTATAAAGCAAAACCTTAAGGAACGTTCTTACCGTCGATATTCCAGCCGCTAAATTACACCATCACACATCGCGACAATACTCGCTACTAATCCATACTGTCTTGACGGCTCCGTGGCGCAGTGGCTTAGCAATCAGTTGCGCTGGGGGCCGCGGGTTCGAATCCCGCACGGAACAAGTATTTGTATGGCCTACAAATAATTGTTCCGGGTCTGGATGTTTGTCCTTGTGCAATTTATGTTTGTAAACTGCCTCCACGACACAGGAGAAAATCCTAGTGTGGGGGTAACGTTTTAAAAAAATATCCATACTGTCTGGATGATTGGCGGTCCATTGTGCGATTTATTAGAAGTTTTCTTACTCGCACAACTTGCTTGTGGAATCGACTACTACCAGCTAATTTTCCGGACCGATACGACTTAGGGACAACAAACGACCACACAGTCCACCTGATGGTAAGGGGATGCTGTGGTTCATTGAGATCTGCATCTATACTTAATTAAAAACCAAAATGCAGATGTCTGTCATGATTGTCGCCCCTGAGGGCTAAGATGAATTGCCTTGTTTCCAGTAAAAAGGGCTCACTCTACGAAACAGCAGCATTAAGCTGCTATTTTACTCTGGTGTTTTGTGAGAGCATGGTCCTTCCCTTGTCGAGCCGACCCATTCGTGCTACAATCATAATAATATAACTGCAGTGTGGCTCTTCCATACATAAAAAACCAAACCTAATCCAACTTCCGATCTAAACCCGGGCTTCATGTCACGAGTCATAATCATCGATCACTAATAAAAAAACTAGATACACAATCAGTAACAAATCTGTCCTTACCGAATGAGCGCCCACTTGAACGTTTGGGCACGCTTTTAATCTAGTAGTATTCGAATGCTCCGACGGTCAACATGCCTTAGTGCTCGTTTAAAAAGTTTAAAAATCACACATGCAGGACGCTAAAAAATGATGGAATTTCATATTTTCGGTAAGTATTAATATTATCTTATTTAATTGTTATCACTGTATTGTACTGTGTAAATATATTTTGACAAGAAATTATCGTAAAAACATTTTTTAGATTAATAACTCATTCCTTGTCCAAGCGACGACCTCGGTCGTAAAATTTGATTACTTTTTATTGGGACTTTGTAATTCTGACTTTAAACCATGCATGTAAGGTTGAATTTGTTTTGATATAGGTTGACCAGCGAGTATCGGTCATAAAAATTTATTACTTTTTGTACGTAGCTTTATAAATACAAATTTAAGGTTGCATTTATATTAATATATATTTATTTCAACTAGAATTACGTCAAAACAATTGGCGACAGTTTACAGACAGTTTACAGAACTTTTGTATGGGATTATCTATCTATTTTTTTTTTATTAGTGATCGATGGTCGTAATTAATAAATTGAAAATATAACAATGTTAAGCTATGTTGATTTCTCTTGTTCTACTGCGGATGTCCTCATTTCTAAGTTTATCACGCAGAGAAACCCCGAGCATAGCCCTCTCCATAGCTCGCTGAGCGACCTTGTGCTTCGTCATAGGGCCAGCAGTGAAGGACCACATCTCAGATCCATAAGCCATCACTGGCAACACGCATTGGTTGTATAATCTCGTTTTCAACCTTTGACCTAACGAGAAAATGTGTCGTAATGTCCTGAACGCTGCCCGGCCTAGTTGAATCCGTCATAGACCTCTCGGTCGAAGTTGGACTTACTTAGTCGGACTATTTGTCCTAGCTAAACATACTCGTCAACTTTGAGCTTAGTGCTCCCAACAACTACCGCCATAGATGTGAAGTAGACGTTACACATAGTCTATGTTTTATCCACGTTCATCTTAAGACCAATTCATTGGGAGGCACTGTTGAGGTCATTGAGTATTGTGTTTAGGTTTTCCAGCGATTCTGCCATAAGGACTATATCGCCGTCAAATCAAAGGTGAGTGATGTACTCGCCATTGATGTTAATACCGTATTGTTATCCTGTGGCTTGAACAGCAGTTTCGTAGTAGTATGCAAAACCTATTGTTTAGACCGAAGTATTTTATTTAGTTTGATACAAAAAAAAAAAACATAAACGACCTTATAGGAATTCCATCTCCTCATGAACTACCTAATTCAAGGATCTGAGGAATTTCAGGGATTCCATCTTGCTTCTCTACCAAAGTACAAAAATACAGAGAAAGTAATTGATATAACCGTTACCAGACAGATGTTCTTTTGTTATGAGTAAAATAAAACTCAGACATGGGCCTTCCTCCAAACAAAAATAGAAAAAAAAAGACTGGATTAGAGCGAGTGCTATAGTACACGCTTATGGGGACGCTACTGTAGATCGTTGTCTGCCTGGGTGATAGAACCTCAATATTTATCTGCCATGCAAAATATATATGTCAAATAATATTATCAACAATGTATATATATATTGCAGCTTTATTGAAATAAGAATAAATTGTCCTATCTGCCATGAACTTGGAACTGCTATATAAATTATTTTTCGATAACTTTTATTGAATATTTCAAGATATCAAAACGGCAGACTTATTACTTTCACGTTTTTTCCGGTTATTTTTTACACCTTTCACACCTGAGCGTCTCTATATCAACCGCCGGTCAAACTAAAGGGTCCCCATTTCATTATCTTTTTATTATTAAATTCATTATAAAATTGTAATTAAAAATTGTATTATAAAATTAAAAAATGTAATTAAATAGATATTCCATTGAACATTTACACAGCACTAGAGCTACATTTATAAAATTATATATTTGCATGCCACTGGCATATGATTGTTGGAGTAACAACAACAAATATGATTGTACTATACCAAATCATTATATCTATAACTACCTTATTTCTTGCAAATGAATTATTATTATTCAATGTTTTCAAACTAACCGCCAACTTTTAGATAAGCGGAGGTAGTAGAGTCAAAGAGGAAGGCCCGTGAACGCTACAGCCTCCGCCTATCTACAGGTCAGATATACTAGAAGACCCTACTAGAGCCTACTCCTTTTTAAAAGGCTGGCAACGTATCTGCAATTCCCCTGGTATTGCAGTTGTTCATGGGCGGCGGTAGTCACTTACTATCAGGTGAGCCGCATGCTCGTTTGCCCCCTCCTATAAAAAAAGACCACCAGCTAAGCAACCCCAATGGAAACCATATTGGGGGACATTATCAGCTGGTGGTTTTTTAAACTTATTATAAGCCGGTGCGTGACTACAAACCCAGCTGTGATGATGAAACCCTAGATGGTAAATCGCACTGTCTTAATATAACATAAACCTATTCACTCCTTGTAATCGAACGGAAAGACAGATGCTGGCAATTTATTCTACTCATTTGATGTATACGCATTGCGAAAGATTAAGTGGTGTAGCAGGCTGCAAACTGCAAACGCAAAAGGTGCTTGAAAGGCGCTTGAAGGGCGCTGTATCCAGGATTAGACAATCGTCCGAACATGGACAACAAGGATGGTGTATGGTCCCTCATACACCATCTGACACCTCTGAAACAGGCGTAGGCGAAGTAGCCAGTTGTATCAGACAATGTGCCATGACAAAATCGTCAACAAATCTCCCAGCATGATCGGTTGTACAAGAACAGCTGTAGCCATTTGGACGTGTTTGATGAGTCGATCTGTGCCGAAGTGTGTAGCTGCTCTGTGACTCTGCCTGCTACATAAAAACACAACTAATCACAAGACCTTGTCAACTCAAACCTAACTCGACAACAATACTCTGGACTTCATAATAGCGGAACACTGGCTCTGGTCAAATGTAGATCTAAGCTCCTTGGACTACATACGAATTGTGTTCAGTACTAGTAGACATGGCTTGCCCAAAATGTTACTCCAACAGTGAGTCTCTCAAAAAAATTTTAGAGCTAGTTGTGGCTGAATTCCTCACGGAGACAACGCATAAGACCATAGATTTATGCCAAGAGAAATTAAAGCCAAAGGCGGCTTAGAATCAAATTGTTTTTAATTAATTTATTAGACATTGATGAACAGTACACATAAGCTTTATTAATATAACACTGTTTCTTTCCAAAATTTATGCATTTTAGTATGGCATAAGTTATATAGATTATTACTAATAATAACACTTACTAAGAAATCTAGACCTTCATCTCTTTGAGATTCATCATGATTATTTGAGACATGCAACAGCATTCGCTGATCATATTCAGATAGAACAGAGTTCACTTGTTCCAGTTCATTTGTAGGAAAGCCACCTTTTCTCTTTCGAACTCTGCATGGTTTATATAAATTCTGAAAAATTTAAATAAAATTTTAATGCATTTTTTTCTTTTACTTTATTTTAGAAATAGTGATCAATCCAAATATGGAGTGAGGTACACTTGATATCTTTATTTAGTATAGTATGAATATAATCTATTCTTTGTTGATTTATAAAGTAACCAAACAAGGACGGATAGGAAATATGGTTCACATTTTATTGAAGTGATGACAGTTTATCACTGGAGGTGTAACAAGTAGCATGAATTACGACATTGATCTTAACGTTCACAGTTACCGTTTTTAGATATACTAGGTGGTACAAGGTGAAGTAGTAGCAGCTCTAACTTGAACAATAAACCACAATTGGTTTACTGTTCATCCTATAATCAGTTATTGGTATAAATACCATACAAAGGCAAGTGCAAAATCATGTATGTGGTTTAAAATGAATCTGCACGGACTAATCCCGTCAAAACTATCCACACAGAAGTTGTGGAGAAAATCTCTTATATTAATTATTAACTGATTAATTTACTGAGAAAATTGTTTTCAAAAACTGTTATATAATTAAATAAATTTAAAATAATTTCCTTAAATTACTTAAATAGATATCATATGGAGTAGAAATTATTAATACATTCATTAATATATTCAAAGACCAGTACCTGAACAACAGAGAGATTTCTTAACAATTTCTCCTTTTGCATAAAATAGGCTCGGTCAGATTCAAATATGTGATTCTTGTCATACTGCATAACGGCAAATTTCCTCAATTCATCTTCTTTCACTTCTCTATACTCACTAGAGTACTTTATTAACCATTGAATGAGTGGGTAAATATTTATAAAATCTAAGCCTTGTATTTGATGAGGTTCTATAATATAAGGACACTTCATACTGGGCAATACTTTTACAATTTTTTCAGTTAAAGCACTAAAATAAAATAGAAGAATAATTAACACTTTGTTGTGAAAGCATATTAGCTCATTTCTTCGAATATACCAAACACAAACAAAAAGGAGTTTTTTTTTATCACTATATTGAAATAACTTAACATTTATGTATTTGCAATACTTTTTTTTGGCCCAAAATTGTGAGTATAAAATATCAGCTAATGCTAAAAAGTTCTGTTTTTTCACACATGTAAGAGTAGCAGCTGAAGGCTTCGCAACCTCAGTTTTGGAGTTCTTAGCAGTGCTTTATTATCACACTACTAATATCATCAGTTTTTAAAAACTAATAGTGCCCATTTTTTTAATTTCATTCTACTATCACTACCTACCATAATATATCAACGCAAAACGGCAATTATAGCAATTTGTTACACCGCAATATGATTATATTTCTCATTATGAAATAAAATTTGTAGATATATACGTATAAATATATATTCTAAATTTATCTATAGTTTCGTAACATTTAAAAATTTTTGTTTTGTTTTTGCGCGTAGGTATGTTCTACCAGCGCCTAAAAATCAAGATTCCAACGTTATGTCGCATGAAATCGTATCTAACAATCATATGGAACATATAAATGATAAAAGTAATAATATTAGAGGTATAACGATTTTAATTTGCGAGAGCCTGGTGTTTAGTACTAGGAAAGACTTGTATGACTAATCACCAGACTCTCGTCCCTTACTGTAACATTTATCAACCTATTTATCAAAATACCTTTCATTTTATTACACTTCGTGCGACAATATGATTTATAATTGCTGTTTTTGTAATTAAAGTTACAATAAAAGAGAAAGAAAAAAAAAACAATTTAAAAAATAAAAACTAATTTGCATGTGAGTGCTGTGTGTGTATGTGTGAGTAGGGAGTGAGTGTGTGTTTGTGTGAGAGTGAGTGTGTGTATGTGTGTATGCTTGTATAATATTTTAAATACTATTCGTAAATCCAATTGTGCAAGACATGCAAGTTTTCACTAATAACCTTATAACTATACTTCCAATTTTCTGATATCTTTATGTCAATCTTCAATTAAAAATGTTTGGAAAATCCAAGTGCACAAACCACAATGCCCAATGATAGTGAAAAAATAAAAAAAAAATTGTAAATTGTGGTTCTATTCGTCAATGAGTTCCAGTAGCAGTCAACGAAATACACCTTGAAGTCAGTCCATCAAGTCCGGAGGAGTCCGGTCTCATCATAACTAACAAAACGAAGCCAAACTCGGCACATCTTGTTCTCCTCGTCGAAGAGGTCCAATAACAGTCATCAAAGTACACTTTCAAGTCACTCTATCATGTCCGGAGGTAAGGTCTCATCATAACTAAAAAAACGAGCCCAAACTCGGCACATCTAGTTCTCCTCGTAGAAGAGTTCCTGTAGCAGATACCGACACACCTTCAGGTCTATAAAGTCTAAGACGTATAAGTATATTTATATATATATAGATACTTCGTGCTTTTAGCGAAACAAAATATTGTAATAAAAATCTGTGATTATAAAAATAATATCTTACCTTGGTCAAGTGTATATATACGTGGTAGAGCCATGCTGCAGCTATATTAGTAGTATAGTTGTAGCACGAATTGGTCGGCTCGACCGGGGAAGGACCACGCTCTCACAGAATACCAGCGTAAAATAGCAGCTTAACACTGCTGTGTTTCGTATGGTGAGTGTAGAGAACCGGAGTCCCTTTTTACTGGAAAAGAGGCATTCCATCTTAGTCCTCACAGGTGACCACGCATCTGCATTTTGATACGCAAACGAGGATAAATGTAGATGTCTATGGGCCACAGCAACCACTTACCATCAGGTGGACTGTGTGCTCGTTTGTCATCCTATCCTATAAAAAAAATGTATCAAATTTGGTTTTTGGAATATTTTGTATTTCTACGGCGATCGATATGTTTCTGCACGAGTCGCTGTAACAAGCGACCACTCACGACGGCAAAGTAAATAAAGTACTCTTTGGCTGTAGCTCGGAGTGCGGTTGCGGACTATTTAGTAAGATAAATTAATACAAGGCTCTCAACCACCGAAAATTTCGCCATTTCTTAGCCGAAAAGTTTCGTTATTTATAAGGAAACAAAACAAAATTAAACTACCATTTACATTCCATGGCTTCCTACATGATAGATGAAGAGTTTTAAAAATAGATTGAGTTGAATAATCGATATTTTCAAAACTTATCGTGTTTACGCCGCCATGTGGACTTGATAAATTCACACCATAAGCCACTAAAACCCCTTTTTTTATATAAAAATAATAATTAATCGATTTAAAAAAAAAATAATAAGTTCAACAATCATTTATCTTTCTGACAATGTGCTTTTTATATTATTTATATATATATATATATATATATATATATATATATATATATAATATGATATGATTACTACATACGATTTCATGCGAAAAATCTTAATTTTTAGGCCCTAGCAGAACATACCTGCTCGCTTCGCACTTAAGGCGCAGGTTGAGCAAAATGTCGCGCTAGTCGTTATTTGTGCGGTTTTTAGAAGCTATCTACTTTTTATTTAAAAGATATATCAACAAATAAAAAACACATTATATTTCTACATAATCTTGATTCCATAAAAGCTATATCCAATTTTTTTTTAAACGAATAAATATTAATATAATCTCCTTACAAGGAAACCACATAAATGTGAAATTATTATTGATAACATGGATCTCCTCGTAAAGTAAGTATTATTTTATTTTGCGATTTACACCAATGGATAGACAATTTATTAATAAACATTTCTATAATAAATTTTTTTTCAAAAGACCAAAATTTGATTTTATTAAGAAATTATTTTAAAATCTGGGCATATTCACTGCTCACGGGCTTGCTGAAGTCAGTGAGCGCTGAGCTCTTCGACGCGAAGCCCGTGTCGTTAGAGCGTCGACCAGCGCCACATACACTCACGTAATATCAGTCGATAAATAATATTACTTATTAGGTTATTTATAGGTAGTATTATTTGTTTGTTTTGGGTATAATTTTTCGTATTAGTTATACATATATTTGTTGTGTTTTTTACTGCGCGATGAAGCTTTTTGCGTGTATTTTCTTTGAAGTAAATGCAAATAAAAAAATGAATCACCATTAGCAAGGTTCGAATCCATAATTAAAATTTCGACAAATATTATAATTTACACTATAAAAGGCTAATTCAATAGTATCAACCAACCACAATATCTTATTAAGTATAGTACTGCCTCGTTGGTCTAGTGGTTGTAGTAGTGCGACTGCTGATCATGAGGTCCCGGGTTCGAATCCTGGGTCGGGCCAAAAAGTCAGTTATGAGTTTTTCATTTATGTTCTAAGTTATAATTAGTATTACTAAGTTATAGTTTTTTGCTAAAATATAGTATATTATTTATTGCTTGTTTTTTCTTCTTTTTCAAAAAATAATTGAGTACATAAGGTGTTCTATACTTATAATTCGGTAAAAAGTATCTAAGTAGGTACTAATATACCTACTTTTTACTATCTAAAACTTTTTAAAACTAAATTTAACTAAAAATACTAAACTGACCATTTATTTTTTAACTCAAAACAGGACATGGGTTTATTTATACTCTAAAAACTATAACTTTATACAATTAGTGTTCACTATAAAATTATATTCGGTATAGACGGTAATTATTAAATGCAACATATTTTTTTAAATTATTAATTACATTTGTCAGTGGATTAAATTTGCTTTAATAAAGTTGGTGATGATTTTAAATAAGAATAAAATTCTGCTCAAGTTTTTTTATTGTTATCTTTGTTAACAACATCGCCTTTAGAACTCTGGAACCGTAAGTGTTTCTTTCAGACGTCCACAATTTATTCAAAATAAAAAAATACTCTTTCTACCGGAGCATTCGTACCAGGTAGACATAAAATATATTCGATTAAAAAAAATTATGTTGAAGATTGTTGACTTTGAATACTTCCATCCAACGAGTTACGGGACAATTTTGTGTCCCGGAGCTTTGTTTGGGGACAATGGGACAGGAGACCGAGAAAAGGGACAGTCCCGTTCAAAACGGGCCGTATGGTCACTTTAGCTGTAACCCAGCGACGACTCGGCTTACGGCTTAGCAATCAGTTGTTGCGCTGGGGGCCGCGGGTTCGAATCTCGCACGGAACAAGTATTTTTATGGCCTACAAATAATTGTTCCGGGTCTGGATGTTTGTCCTTGTGCAATTTATGTTTATAAACTGCACCCACGACACAGGAGAAAATCCTAGTGTGGGGGTAACTTTTTTTTACAATTGAAATTGAAAGATTGAACCCTTATACTTCTTGTTGATTTTTGTATTACCTTTATTAAAGTTACCCTTATGTATAAATAAATATAATTACGTATGTAGAAATAAAATTGATTTTCATCCTCATCAATCATTGGGGCAAGGATAATGTCTGCCAGCATAAGTAAATAAGCAGGCTAAGTTACAAGGTGCTCAGTTCAAAAATTTGTAGATAGGTATGTTACTTTTCAATACGTGACACGTAAAAATTAACAATAATCAAAAACACATCTGCGAAACATCCTATTTATTTATTTATTCTTTATTGCACCAAATATTTGTACAAAAGGCGAGCTATCTATTTATTTACCTATAGTGAATAGGTATCTTTTAAACTCACAATTTTCAATGCTTCATTTTTAATATATAATTAATTATAAAATTTCATAATTAGATAATATATGAAAATACATAATTCTAATATACCGAATAAAAAAATTAAAATACATTTATCGTTGTACGCTGTGTGTATTTCCATAAATTAGTTTATTGATGTTGAAAAAATAATACTACGTTCTTGCCTACACGTCTTACATATTTCATATTGAAGCGAGCAGCGCGCCGCCGGCTAAATGCTCAAGGTCGTTCGCATGGAGTAGCCCCTTAAGGCATGTAATAATGGAAGTTATGAGGGAAAGCCATTCCGTTACTCTTGTTTTTAAGGAATA